TCTTTGGTCAGGGCTTGTACTTCTCTTCTGAGTGCACTTGGGGAAACAGGAAGCAAGCTCATTAGGTGAGAATTGGGGAGGAGGTATTGGGGTTTGCAGAGAGAAGATAAGATATGAAATAGTTGTCTGGAGGTTTGGAGAGAGCATAGATTAGGGAAAGGAAGCAGAACGTCTAGACAGTTGTGTCAGGCACTAGATAGGCAGTTGGTTGAGTTAAGCAAAGTTTGGGATTTTGTAGACAGTACACTGAGGTGAGAAGGTGACAAAAATGTTGAGAGTGATTGTAACAGTGAACCATGAAGCTGAGTGATGGCGAGAGGGAGTAGGAGACACTGAAAACGTGGGAGATTGATGGGTTGTAGGTCCTGTTGGAATTGAGGACTATAGGACTTGAGTTGGTGAGCTGGAAAGATAGGAAGTGGGGGTTGGAGAGAGGAACATTGAAACTGAGCTTATGGAGGAGGTGCAGTTGTGAAAATGACCAGGTTAATGTGTAACCATGGCAGAGTGATGCAGATGAGGTGGAAGACGGGATCATTGAGGCAGAGGGATATTCAGTGAAAAAGGAGGTCACAGAGTTAACCATTGCAGGCATATTTCTTTGCCTCACCTTCCTCTGCCCTATTGGTGTTTGCCCTTCGCTGTGTGGGGCTGATGACTGGTGGAGGAAACACTCCTTATTGCCTGACTGTTCATTGACCATCTGGTTTATTTCCTGGCTGGTTTGTGTTTGTGTTTTGTTGAATAATATTTATTGAAGCCTATAACCCAGTCCCATTAGAGATGGGTGGGTGCATCATGGTTCATGTTTATTTATTCTACCCTTTTTATTGCCTGTCAAGCCCTATTTGTGTGAATAGAGCCCTTCCCCTAACCATGGTCATACACTTGTAGCTCCCATCACCAGGGGAGCCTCTGATTATCAAGGTCAAGAGAGGGTGGGTGGATCCCAGCCAATTCATTCCCACCATGAGTGAGTAGATTGGAACATCAGGATCCTAGTACTGAACACAAAGGACAGTGACTTTATCATCCTTACCATCATCCCATGCTTTCTTTCTGTCCTGGGACCAGCACTGCGGACATGAGAGGATGAGGTGGCCAGTGAGCATGGGCTTTGGAGGCAGAGGACCTGGATTCGAATCCAGCTCCACCAATTACTAGTGGTGTGGACTTGGGCAAATTATCTACCCTTTCTGAGCCCCAGATTTTCATATTTCTTGTTCTTAAAACATAGATAATGCCACTCTGTATTGTTTGAATAGGAAATGAGATAATGCAGATGAAATGGCATTGGGCAGAATAACTTAGTAGATATTACGGACTCAATAAATGTTAATTCCTTCTTTTTTCAGAAGATTGAGTCCATTCAACGATACTTATTGAGCACCTGCATCCTTGTGTGGTGCTCAATAGTGGAAGGTGGGGGCTATTCTTTGACAGCAGGATGACTTCTGGCAGGCTTTGGACTGGCTCGGGCAGTAGTCCTGTATGTTGTTTTATTGGTCTTTTACCTGGGCAAAGTCTAATCTTGCTGGTCCTGCCTTCATTGGCCTCGACATGTGTACAGCCTCTTTCTATCGACTCCTGGTTGCTGATTTAACTTTATGAGGCATACAAAGTGTATTTGACAGTAGCCTCACCTGGATGGGAATTGGAGAGAACAGATGATCAAAGGGAGGGTGAGGGTCTTGGGCCTCTGAAAAGCTTTGGTAGGAAGTGGATGGGCTGGGACTGAGTCTTAGCCGGTAAGTTGATTGCTCAAGTCTAAAGAGGAAGGGTCATCTTTTTATCTCCTAGGTGATAACTTGGGGAGCATCTCATGTGGATTTCCACTTAGATGTAGTTCATTCTTTGGAAGAGCTTCTCAGTAGAGTTGTCTAAGGATGGAGTGGGCTGTCTTTGGACACACCACCATAATATACACCGCCATATAAGGTGCTCAAAACTAGAAGGAACAATCATTTGAGAAGATACGGTTGAGCAGAGGTTCTCAAACTTGAATGAGCATCAGAATCACCCAGCATACTTGGTAAAGCACAGATTGCTGAACCCGACCCTCCGAGTTTCTAATTAGTAGGTCTGGGGTGGGGCCAAAGAATTTGCATGTTTAACAAGATCCCAGGTGATGCTGATATTGTAAAGATGGGGCAATTACAGAGAATATTGAAGCATCAAATGAAAGCTACCTTTAATTTCTTGGCCACCTCTGACATGCTATGCTCCTATAAGTTCTTGAGGGCAATATTACTGAAATCTTGGTTTTTCTACTGAAACCGTTTCCTACTCCAGCCTTCCCCGTCTAAGGAAATGGCTGTTCACTCAGTTACTTGAGCCAGAAACCTTGGCATTGCCCTCAATTTCCTCCTCTTCCTCTGCTCCCCCACACCGTCCATGAGCCCTAGAGTCTCACCTCTGAATCATGTCCCAAACCTGCCTCTCTGTCTCCATTGTCACTACCTAGTCCAGGCATTCAACAAGTAGTTATTGGGCACCTACATCCCGTTCCGCTTCCCCTAACCATGGTTGTGTGCTTACAGCTCCCATTTTAACTAGTTTCACATGGGGAGTCTCTGATTACCAAGGGCAAGAGAGGGTGGGCGGATCACAGTAAATTCTTTCCCACCGTAAGGATCATGTACCATCAAGATTCTGGTAGACAAAGGACAATGATTTTATCATCATCATCACCGTCGATCTCCAGGGTTGATACACTTTTCTGTAAAGGGCCAGATAGTAAATTTTTTAGGATTTGCAGCCCTTATAGTCTCTGTCATGCCACTGAACTCTGCCGTTATAGCACCAAAGCAGCCAGGGACCATTTGTGAACAAGTGGGCATGGCTGTGTTCTAATAAAACTTTATTTACAAAAACAGGTAGTGGGCCAGATTTGGTCCACAGACCTTAGTTTGTCAGCCCCTGTCCTGGACTATCACTAAATCTCCTCCTGGGTTCCCCGCTTCTTGCCTTCACTCTCCTCCACTCTTTTCCCTACAAAGCAGGCAGAGTGATCTTTCACAACCATAAACCAGATTACCTCACTCTCCTGCTAAAGCCATCCAATGGCTTTTAGCTCTAGAATAAAATCTGCATCTGTTATGTGGCTGCTGCCTGAGTTTCCAGTCCCTTCGTGAGACATTCTGTGTCTCCTCCACTACGTTCCATCTGCAGGGCCTTTCTCTTCAGTTCCCTGAACACTTGAAGCTCTTCCCTGATTGAACAACTTTGCACAGGTTGTTCCCTCTTCCTGGAGTAGTTTTTACTGTACTTTCTGTGTGGCTAGGTACTTCTTTTCCTTCGCATCTCCTCTTTAGAGAAGACTTCCATTCAAAAACTCTGCCCCTCTTCCCCTTCCCTAGTAATGTCTATATGAGCATCCTATGTGTTTTCCCCATCACTTTTCATTGCTTAACTCATCACATGATTTGCCTGTTTCACACTCTGGTATGTAATTGCCAGAAGGGCAGGGACTGTATCTGCTTCATTTGCCACTGTGTACCCAGAGCCTGGCATACAGCAGGTACTTTATGTTGCTGGATGACTGAATGAATGGATATGGAAGGGATTCTTTCCTGGAAATAAGAGGATACTTTTCATTCTAGGAAATATTCAGTGAACAGCTGCTATCTACCAAGGCTTATCCTGAGCCAGGCAGGAGGGCTAGGAGCTAAGGAAGACATTGTGTCTACACTCAGGGAGACCAAATCTATACAAATGGTACAAACTGTGGGCAGTAAGATTTCTGGGAAGGAAAAGTCAGGGTGGTGTGGGTCATAGCATGGCATTGGGGTGGGGGGTCCTGGGAAGCACGTGTCTTTCCTTGATGTGACATAACCCCTCACATCATAATGCCCCTTCTAAAGACTGAACTTATTTTCCCAATGTATTGCCCCAATGTTTTTATGGAGGAGCTGTAAATATTGCAAGTGTGAATAAATTACTATGAAACATAAAGTCACAGTTCTATTATTTTTTAGCCACCATACAAAAATCAGAACTTTTTTCAGTCAAGATGAAAAAGAAATCCTCAAAGTTAAACTCTGAATGTCATCACTGCCAGGTCACATTTTGCACCCTCCCTTCTCCCTCCACAAGACTGCTTTTCACTTGGATGCTTCTGGCTGGGAATCTAAGACAGCTTCCCTGTGGAAGTGGAACTTGAACTTGCCAAGTGGAGAAGATGAGGGCAGGCATATCAACCAGGATTTTACGAGAAATCTCAAATTCAAGGGTGATGAGTCCTGGGACCCAGGGCCTGATGAAAAGAGGTATAATCACTTTGCAGTGGTTTTGTGCACTGACTGTACATTTGAATCTCACCATCTCACTTGAGATTTGAATCTCAAACTCCCAAGAGAGGAGCTTGAGCACAGAGACTGCAAAGAGGGCCAAGGGCAGTGCCATATTGGAGAGCAACACTTTAGGGGCAAGAGGAGAGAGATGGGCTTATGTAGGAAAATTAGGAGAGCATGTGGAGAAGCTGGAACAGAACCACGATAGTGTTTTAAGGAGAGAGTGGTTTGTGGGGTCAAATCCTGCAGAGGTCAAGAAAGATAAGGATGGAAGCAGAACCATTGAACTTGGCAACTTGGAGCGCATTGGTGACTTTGGTGAGAATAGTGTATATTCACGAGTACTATTGCATCAGTGGTAACAGGACAAAAGGATTGATCATTTTAGTGGATGACTCACCCTCCCCAATGGTCTTCCCAACAGTGTTGTTCCTAATTGCCCTAAAAAAACCCCTTGTTCTCCTTTAATGCCCCACTCAAATGTTGCTTCCTTAACCAGGCTTGTTCCCTGCTTCCGCTGTTCCTTGTCACATCCCTGCCAGAATAAATAATATCCATCTCTGTTCTCTCTCTGCACATCCCCACATCTGCCCTGTGTTAGAGAAAATTACTTGCATGTTGTCCTTTCTTGTGAGGCCAGAAGTTCCTCGAGGTCAAGGACTTTGTTGTGTTCACCCTCCTCCTGCCATGAGTAGAGTCTTGAACATATCAAATGCTTAGTACATATTTATTAAACGAATGAATGATTAGAAGGATGAAGCTTGGGTTGTATAGACTTTTGTTCCTCTAGCCCACAAGCTCACACAGGTAAGCACAGGAATATGTACACACAAAGACCCCATGTTCCCCCTAGGGAAGACCTCTTTGCTAAAATCCACTTTAAATTCCTGTCTCCTTTTTAATAGAGGAACAGCACGATTTACCATGCTGAATTGAATGAAGTCCAGATGCATGCAGTTGGAAAGACATATCCCTTAGAATGTAAGGGAAAGAAGAACTTGGGATTCAGTAGCCCAGAAAGGGGACATCTTCATTTGGTCCCAGTGAAAGATGCTTCTAGAACCTTTGGCTTTGCTTATTTGGAGACCTGGACCAGGTTGGAATAAGTTGACGGGGGGTTCGCTGGTTCTGGGATGACCACTGGGTTTGACACACAAACAGTTGGGTAGACGACGCCCACCTAGAAAACACAGGCACACGGTAGGTCCATGAATAAGGGTGTAAGGAGGACCAGGCATGTGTGGAGGCCTCTAGACACTGCAGGATTCCTCCTACTCCTGGGCAGGAAAGGGAAGCATGAAAACCCCTCTAGTCTCCACCCCCTTTGGGGCATTTTCCACCTGCTGAGGAGCCCCCAGGACTCACGTTGTTGTGTTGACAGCAGACCAGTTGGCAGCCAAAGTGGGAAGAGGTGCTTGCAACGCAGAATTCCAGAATGCAGAAGATGAGCAGCACAGCAGAAACAGCTGATCCAGGGGTCTGGAACCAGAACGGGTGGGGAGGACATGAGTGCTGGCCAGGGAGTTCCAGGTCTGGCTTGAAGTCTGGCACTGCAATGGATCATCACCATGGCTTTGAGGAACTCCCCCAACCTCATCTCAGCCTCATCAGGAAATTATCTCACTGGGTTTTTGTGAGGGTCAAGTGTGTTTGTAAAAGAATTGTTATTTTAGCATTTACTACCAGTGCTCCTCCAAGAGAAAAAGGAGTCACTGTTTAGGAAAACATCATAATACCTTGCTTCAGGTAAGGGGATGAGGCCTGAGGGTGTGCTCTGGAGTCGACACTGAAACAGTAAAACTGTTCTGTGTAGGAAGCAAATAGAAAGTTGGGAGCACGGACAAGCCACAGAGGGAAAAGTGAGATGGTTAGAGGAGAAAGATGTGACTGAACAACATGATGGGAAGGTGGACCCTGCAGAAACAGGCGTCCTGAGAGAAATTAAGAGTTTACGTGATAGGGACGTCAAATCTTCAGTCATCAGTAGTTTCCTAGGCTCTAATATAACCCTCCATCTCTCTGAATCTTTAGAGAAAGTCGGCCACTGAGACAACCTTCTTGGCTTATGACAGTGGCGTTTTGTGGAGGGAAGTAATTGGGGCTGTCTTTAGCTTGGGAAAAAGAGTTAGTGATAGGACTCTGAAATTGGACTAGTTCAGCAGTAGTAGATGCTAAGGACCAGGAGAAATCTAAGCTGTCACCTTGCTATTCTGCAAAAATGCCCAGGAGAATGGGGCCTCACCCTGCATCTGGGGGGAGAGCTTGAGTAGAACCCATTTTAATCTTAAAGGACAAGGGATGAATGACCCAAGTAGCCATGTGGATTCCAATTACCTGAGATAATAAATATGAGTGTAAAAGCACTCAGAACAGAATAGGTACCAAATAAATGTTTGTGAATTATAATTTTTAAAATGGCATTGGAGACAGTCCACTGCTCAAAGAATTCTCGTTTTTGGAGAGACCTCTCCTTAGTACATTTCCTTCTCCTCCCTCTCACTTTAGCAAGCATTTATTAAACCTCTGTTTGGTACAAGTGGCCAAGAAGAGCATCGTGAGGGGCACAATCTAGCGAGGGAGACAGATACAGATGTAGATCATTATATTCACTTCTAGCATATGAGAGCTATAAAAGAGCCCCACAGAGTGCCTTAGGGGCACCGAGGAGGGAGGTTAATTTTTACTGGAAGACTTAGAGAGGATAGAGGAGGGAGAGGGTGTCCAAGGCAAAGGGAAAGGCAGGATGAGGATGTCTTCTTAGTCAATGAATCTCAGAAGCTTAGGGGAGAAGGGCCTTTACTCATTCTACTGGTCCTTTCCAAATGTATTTTTAACAATAAAATTCTTTCATCAATAAGACCTTCCAAGAAAAAGGGTTCCCCCAAGAGCTTTGGTATTTATAATTCGATGGGCAATGATTCATGCTCGTTGAGCTCCTGGAGTGCCCCATCCCTTGGGTCATCATTTGCAAAGTTCTGATGAAGCCCAGTCCTCCTTGGTCAGATCGGGGGCAGCCAGGATGGGGAAAATTGTCTCTCTAAGATCAGACATTGCCATAACTGAGATTAGAAGCCAAGTTTTCCGACTCAAAAGTTACTGATCTTTATACTTCAGGGCATTGGCTGGCCTGATGAAATTAATCTTTCCTAAATCTCTCCCCCACTTCTCCCTCCTTAGCTCCTCAACCAGGAGGAGCTCCCTCATTTCTTACACTGGGCAATTCATGCCTCCTTGGTCCGTGCTTTCCCAGTAGGAAAAGACCGGAGTGTTCTTCAGTGCTTGCTTCTCTCACTGGAGGGGAGTAGCTGGAGGTCAGGGTGAGTAAAGGATTAGAAGGGAAGTGAGCTGTAGGGCACAGGGAGTTGGAACCAAATCTCTGGGGAGCAATGAACACCTGGCTGAGGAATGTGGACTTTAATCCTAAAGCAACTGGAATCCATAAAATGTTTCCAGGAGGGGAGGAACTCAAGGTACTTTTGATAAATGACATGAAGTTGGTCCACAGGTTCTCTGGGGAGAGGCTTTTCTTAGGAATCTTGGAGAGAAAAGTCCTGGGAAGGACAGTCTGATCAAATATAGGTAACAGTTAACAGCTACCATGTATGCAGTACAAGCCATACCTGGTGCGTTCGTATATTCATTTGACAAATGTCTATGAAGTGTCAGCTATGTGCCAGGCACAGTTCTAGGCATTTGAGATATGGCAGTGAATGAAACAGAAAAACATCTCCGCCCTTAGGAAGCTTATATTCTAGTGGGAGGAGACAGACAGTAAGCATGAAACGAAACAGACGAGTCAATTGTAGAGTTTGTTAGATGTTTAAAGCTATGGGAAAAGTGGATTAGGGGAAGGGGAGTTGGGATTCTGGGATAGTGCGGGGCGATGCTTGAGACTTTAGGTACGGTGTTGGGTCATTTGGGCGGGCCTCATTGAGAAGGTGAATCCTGAGCCATGGCCTGAAGGTGGCGAGGGAGGGAGGGAGCTCTGCGGGTAGCTGAGGGAACATTCCAGGTCTGAAGATGGAAACATGCCTAGGGTTTTCGAGGAAACATCAAGGAGCTTGGTGTGGCTCAAGTGTGGAGAGCCAGAAGTCGGTATAGAGCCTGGGAGCAGAGGGCACCAGAGGACCAGCATCTTTAGGCCACTGTAAGGATGTTGGCTTTTTTTTTTTTGAGTAAAATAGGAGAAGCGGAAGGTTTTGAGCAGATAAGTGATGTGACCTTACATTTCAAAAAGGGTCACTCTGGCTGCTGTGCTAACAACAGCTGCAAGGAGACTAGGGTGGGAGCAGGAGGAGCATTTTGGTGGCTGCTGCAGTGGCTGAGCTGAGAGGTGGTGGTGGCTCGGGCCAGCGTGATAATGGAGGGACTGGTGAAAAATGGCTGGATTCTGGATGTATTTTAAAGGTAGAACCACCAGGATTCCCTGAAGAATTGGCTGGGAGGTGTGACAGAAAGAAGGGGGTCAACGATTATGCCAAGGTTTTGTCCCGAGCAACTGGAAGGACGGAGTTGCCATTAGCTGAAACAAGGAAACAAAGTTTGGGAAGGAAAATCTGGAGATCAGATCTGGATGTGTTAATTTCAAGATGTTGAGTGGACAGTTGGATACAAGAGACTGGAGTTTGGGAGCGAGGTTTTGGCTGGAGCTCTGCCTTTGGAGTCATTGTCCTAGAGAAGTTGTTTCTCTGTGAGAACGCCAAGGCAGTGAGCGTACAGAGAAAACAGAAGCGGACCTGGGACTGGGCCTAAGAGACTGGGGAAGAGAGAAGAACCAGCAAAGGAGACAGAGAAGAGAGCGACCAGCAAGGGTGGAGGAGAACCAGCCCCAGGGTGGAGCCTGGAAGCCACACGAAGTCCACCAAACAGGAGAAACGAGTGCGGACCTTGAGCAGACTTGGTGTTTGGAGAAATGAGGCTGAAAGTCTGATTAGAGTGAGTTCAAGAGAGAATAGGAGAGGAGAGAATGGGAGACAATGAGTGTAGACAATTTTTTTAAGGATTTCTCTGAAAGGAGGACCAGAGAAATAGAGTGGTAGCTGGCAGGAAAGTAGGAAAGTAGAAGGTTGGTTGGATTGTTTCTCAAGATGGAAGAAACAAAAGCATGTTTATATGCAGATGGAAAAGCTCTAGTAAAGGGGGACAGTCGATGATGTAGAAGAGAGGCGGGGCGAGGGAGAGGGGAGAGAAGTGGAGTGATAACGTTGAGTGGCCGGGAGCGGACGCCCTCTGTGTGCAGATGGAGAGACTGCGTTTACATGGGACTCATCTGTGGCTGCCCTGTTCCACCTGGTACCTGTGAGTCCCGTCTGGCTGTTGAGCACTTGAGATGTGGCTAGTCCCAAACTGAGATGTGCTGTAAGTGCGAAATACACACTGGATTTCAAAGACTTGAGGCCCGAAACGCAAAATACCGAATTAATAATTTTTTTTACACGGATTACATGTGGAAATGACAACACTTCAGATATATTGGGTTCAATAAAATGTTATTAAGATTAAGTTCACCCATTTCTTTTTTTCTTCTTTTTTTTAAATTAAATTTTTTTTTTGATTGCAGTCACATTGGATTATAACAATATATAGCTTTCAGATGTACATCATAATATATTTCAAATTCTGTGTAGATTACATCATTCATCACCCAAGGACTAATTATAATCCATCACCACACATGTGAGCCTAATCTCCCCTTTTGCCCTCCCCACTGCTCCCTTCCCCTATGGTAACCACCAATCCATTCCCATTGCTATGTGTTTGTTTGTCGTTGTTTTTATTTTCTACTTATGAGTGAGATCATACGGTATTTGACTTTCTCCCTCTGCCTTATGTCACTCAGCATAATACCCTCAAGGACCATCCATGTTGTCACAAAATTTTTTTCTTCTTTTTAAAGGTGGCAACTAGAAAATTTAAAATCATGTATGCAACTCACGTGCTATTTCCACTGGATAGCATCAGTCTATAGCACAGTTTGATGAATTACGGTCCACGGGTAAAATTGTGCCTGCTGCCTACTTTTCTCAATAAAGTTTTATCAGAACACAGCCCTGCTCATTTGTTTGTGTATTTTCCGTGGCTGCTTTTGTGCTATAGGATAGGGTTGAGTAGTTGCCACTGAGCCTGGATGGCCTGAAAGTCTTAGATGTTTACCATCTGGCCCTTTACAGAAAATGTTTGCTGACCTCCTCTCCATAGTAATGGGCAGAAAGGCAAGAATGGAGGAGGGGCACAGGTTGGTGGGTACATATGCGTCATATGTGTAATTGCCTTTAATTCTCCTAGCAACGTCATGGATAGGTGTGGTTTTCCAAAGACAGAAACTAAGACTAAGAAAAGTCACGTGCTTAAAGTAACCCAGAAACAAAGCTACAGGTCAGGGACTTTAGACTCTGTTCTGAGTCTGACAGCACCTCCTTTTCCTACAGTGCTCAGTGAAGAAGCTTGGTTGTTGGGCCCTGTCCAACAATTTCCTAAATATAGCTAAGTCGGAACCCAGAGGAGCGTGGGTTGAGGGGCATACTCACCACACCCCAGGTGTCTGGGTAAGGAAAATGGTCAGGGTAGGCATAGGTGTGGATGAGACTCAAATCTGTGATGAAGAGTATGATTCCAATCACAGAACAGATTGCACTGACGATGTTCAGGCCCAAGCTGCCATTCAGCTGAAGAAGACACAGAGGGTCAGGGTAGGAGAGAAAATGATCATAGGTGAGATGAGCAGAGACTCAACAAATGTTTCTTTCTTTTTTTTTTTTGCTGAGGAAGATTCGCTCTGAGCTAACATATGTTGCCAATCTTTTTCTTTGTTTTTTCTTTTTTGCTTGAGGAAGATTAGCCCTGAGCTAACACCTGTGCCAATATTCCTCTGTTTTGTATGTGGGTTGCCGCCACAGCATTCCTGACAAGAGGTGTAGATCCGTGCCCAGGATCTGAACCTGTGAACTTGGGCCGCCAAAGTGGAGTGCACCAAACTTAACCACTACACCACGGGGCCGGCCTCAATGAGTGTTTCTTAATGTGGCTTCCCGGAAACCTAGTTCTGCAGCAAGTAAAGAGGTGTTCTGTGCAAAAAAATTTTTGGGTAAATTAATTTTGAAAAAAGCTGGGTTGAACAAAGTTAAAAAGGTCTTTGCTGCAGGACTTCTCAGAGCCTTTAACAAGGATTATGGATCTTCCAGAGGGGAATACAAAATAGAGATTTTCCAACTCTACCTAACCATCGTCATAGAGCATCTTGTGGGACAAGTGTCCCCAAGAATAATCTTTGGGAAGCACTCAACCCATTTATCCCGTAGAAGATAGGCAGGAGGCTCACCCCCAGTGTCCTGGGAGGTGACAGGCTCTGACGCTCCATGATTCTGGGCCATGTGCATAAAGATAATGCCCAGAATTTTGAGCTTCATTTTGGAGATTTTCAGATGGATTTCATCTGGTCCTAGGGACCTGGCTGCTTTGAGGCTTGTTACCCTAGAACACCTGCTCATGAGAGAAACAAAGGTACTTTCTACTTTTTTCCTTTTTTTTGGTGAGGAAGATTGCCCCCAAGCTAACATCTGTGCCAATCTTCCTCTATTTTGTATGTGGGATGCTGCCACAGCATGGCTTGATGAGCAGTATGTAGGTCCAGGCCTGGGATGTGAACCCACAAACCCTGGGCCCCCAAAACTGAGCACGTGAATTCAACCACTACCCCATCGGGCCGGCTCCCAGAGGTACTTTCTTGATCCATTGCTAGGGGACCACAAAGCCTTGTCCGTGTTGATTTTCTGAGCTCACTTGGCTGGATTCCTTAGGGAAGGAAGCAGGCAGGTGCCTGGGTTCCCCTGATTTCCCAACAGAGACGGCTGGAGGCCTACTCTGTGCTCTGCTCTGCTGGAGGGGCGCCCTGAGCCCCTGGAAGCTTTGTACCCCCTCCCCTAAGGCCCAGTTAGGGAAGCTATTCCCTGTCTCTGTGTCTCCACACTCTGAAGCTTTAAGTAAGGTGGCTGTGTTGCCCTTGCCTCCTCCAAATCCTCTGGACTCTTTCCTCCTTGTGACTCTGGCTGGGTTCACATGGTCCTGGATGTGAGTAGGGGCGAGCCTGTGTGTCTGTGCCTGTGTCTAGTTATAAGTAGGCACAAGGATGAGGGAGGGGTTGCGTGTTAACCTTCTTCCCAGGCTTGCATCTCTCTCCTATGGGTCCCCAGCTGGGAGGGCCAGTCTCCAGATGTGACTTACCAGGCAGGAAGATTTTGGATAATTTTCTGCTGACACTGAGAGGGATCCTGAAATGATGAACTGGCACAGGAGAGAGGGGGTTTAGAAAGAGGTCAAAGGTTAGGACCCATCTTCAGGCTTCCATGATTCTGGTCCCACACATATTCTCTCGCACACACTAGGTTCCTCTGCTGGGACCTCCAGCTCAACACGAGGAAAAGAATGAATGAACGAATGCATGAGTGAGCTGTTTTGCACCACAAGACAGGGTAGTGAAGTGGGATAAACCAAGATTTTAGGACCCAGCAGACCTGGTTTTAAATCCTGGCTTGAAACTCATGTGATCTTGGGTAAGTTATTAATTTCTCTAAGTCTTTATTTCCTCACTTGAAAAATTCAAAAAGCTGCATGTCTTCCTAAATGTCATTGTCATGAGATAATTGATGCCCTGCATCTGGCAGTTGGTATATCTTGCACCTAGTAGACCCTATACATAGTAGGTGGTCAATAGAGGTTACTTCCCTCCTTGTCTTTTATTTTCCCACATGCACATCTTGTTGGTTGCCCATCTTTATCTAAGGATGCAGTCAGGCATGGGGGCTCTGGAGAGAGGAGGGAAAGGGTTACCAGCCTCCCCACTGCTTTTAGATATAAGGCCAGCATTAGTCCTTGCCTGCCTATATACCTCAGTCACTCAAAAAAAGTTACGTCTCTAGGATGCTGAGCATCAATAAGAGGATGATGAGGTAGATCGTGGGAATTTATTTCAACACTGGTATTCCTCAGGCCTCGTGGATGGTGGGTCACTGCAATGGTCTGTGAGGGCATCAGCTATGGTCTGATAAAAGCTTTGCTGAGCACTGCCACATGAAGTGTCTTTTTCACCTTGCCTTATTTAACTGCGTGATGGCCCATCAAGCACTATTATCATCCCCACTTTACAGAAGGGCAGACTGAAGCTTAGAGATTTTTTAAATAACTCACCCAAGACCATTTCAATAGCAGAGCTGGGAATCAAATCTAGGCAGTTGACTCCAGACCCCGTGTTCTTAACCCTCACCCTATACCCCCTCCCACTCAGGGTGGATGCATGTGCTGTGGATTGCAGATGGTTTTACAATGGAAACTTACTCTAGCTGCTTATGCCTTCTAAGGGGAATGCCATTTTTCCTATAAGTGGAAAAATAAATCTCGATCTTACACCCTTCTGTTTATAGAGACTGGATGAGGAAGGAAGGGAACAGAAGGCTGGACTTCTGTTGTCCCCGCCAGTCCTTTTGAGGTGCCAAGGGAGATGGGCCTTTATTCTGGAAGAAGACATTAATGATCTTTAGGAAATGGATAGTTCAGGAGTCAAGAAGGTAACAGAGAACAAAAATGCCCTGCAGAAAAAAGGGAGGAGGGCCCTCAGGGCTGGAGGGAGCTGAGCCACCTGGCAGAAGGGGAGATGGCTAGCAAGGCGTTTGAGATGTCAGGGCAGCCACTGGACACTTAAGAATACTCACTAGAATCTAACACTCATTAGCAATGTAGCTGTGGTGTCAGTCCTTTCCATTGCCCCAAACTCCATGAAAGTTGGCCATATGCACACAGGTATGGGGTCTGGGGGAGGAATAGGGGCTGAGTTCCAAGTCTGAGTCTGAGTCGAGAAGAGAGAAGACCACAGCCTTAGTGGAGGATGCTCAGAAGGAGGCTCCCAAGAACGTAAGCCCTGCCGTTTTGCAGATGTTGCGTGAGTGTGAGGGTGGAGGATATCTCTAGGCTATTTTATTTAAGTCTCATGGGATAGGGTGACTTTGGCTGATATCTAGGTTACTCCAGAGTTATGCTATTTGTGGGAAAAATTGCATTTGAGTCACGGATAGATGTGTGAGTCAAGGGACAGTCTGTGTAACAGCAGGAAGAAAAAGGAAATCAGTGGGTGGAGAGGGAGAAGGAGGGACTGTGTGTGTTGGGGTGGGGAGCGGAGAGTGGAGGTGTGTGTAGGGGAGAGGACACTGGGGGAATGCAAAAGAATCATAAAGGCAAGAGATTGGAGGGGAGAAAGGACTTTTGGTTCTTAAGCTTTTATGGAGTCACAGATCACCCTGAGAATCTGCTGAAAGCTATGGACTTTTCTAGAAAAAAAAATCTAACATAGCAAATATTTTATTAAAACAGGGACTCTGAAGCCCATCTGTGGACTCTAGGTTGAGTCCTCAGAGCTTAATGACTGCTCTGTGGCTGGGCAGTCACTCTTGACCATTGGGGGAAATATTTTTCTCCTGGAGCTCAGGCTGTGGGCTTACTTTGAACAGTTGAGGGTTATTCCCCAAACGTCTTTTTTCCAGATGGGTGTTTTTGTGTGAATTGGAAAAAGATGCCCCCTTTGGGTTGATGAACTAGAAGAAGGCTCCCTGACCTCTGGGGTGGGCCAATTAGAAAAAGCACCCCGTCTGGGTGGATGGAGCCTTGCAGGGCTGTCACTTGGTGTTATGGGCTCAATTGTGTCCCCTCAAAATTCATCTTTTGAGGTCCTAACCCCCAGTACCTCAGCATGTGAATGTATTTTGAGATAGGGCCTTAAAGAGATGACCAAGTTTAAACGAGATCATTAAGGTGGGTCCTAATTCAATATGATCAGAGTTCTTATAAGAAGAGGAGATGAGGACACAGACACACAGAGACCATGTGAGGACACAGAGAGAAGACGGCCGTCCAAAAGCCAAGGAGAGAGGCCTCAGAAGAAACCAACTCTGCTGAGACCTTGATCTTGGACTTCCAGTCTCCAGAACGGTGAGGACATAAATTTCTGTGGTTTAAGCCACTCAGTCTGTGATATTTGTCATGGCAGCCCAAGCAGACAAATACGCTTGGTGAACAAGACCTGAGCTGGATTCACACACGTGCTGTCTTGGAGGGGAGATTTCTGGAGGCCAAAAGCTGCTCAACTTGACAAGGTGCCCTGAGTCTGCTGACACTTCTGGGAGCTCACTTGCATGGTGACTCTCCTTACTCACCAAGACGCCTCCCCAGAAGGGAAAGCCTCCGTAGAATGAGATAGCTACATAGTACCCATAAAGGACAGTCAGCATGATGAAGCCGAGGCCGATGTGTATCAGGCCGATCAGGATCTGGACGGTCTGCAGGAGAGATACAAACCGAAAACTTTGTTTCTGAAGCCGGATCCTGCGTCCCCTTTGTGCCTCCTTTTTATATGAATAAACCCGTTGTTTCCCTAGTTACAAAGTCATATGTAAAACATAAAAGTCAAATAAAAACTTCCCATAATTTCTCCCCACTCAGAGGAAACAACAGCTTACATTTTGGTGTATAATTTTCTGTTCTTTTCAAATATATACATTGATAATACAAATGGCTCTGTATAATTAGCTTAATATTTCATCATCAACACATCCCTAGGGTATTAAGTTTTCTTCAAACATATTTTTTAAGGTCTGCCAAGATTCCATCATGTAAATATTCCGTGGAGTAATTGGGACAGAAATGTTGGACAGGTAAAATTGTTTCTATTTTTTCATATTATAAATAACACTGTGATGAACATCTTTGTGGATAAACCTTTGTGCTCATCTCTTATTTCTTTAGGATATGGTTATGGATTGACTTGTGTCTGCCTCTCCCCTACCAAATTAATACGTTGAAATTCCAAGCCCCAGTACCTCAGAACGTGATCTTGTTTGGAAATAGGGTTGCTGTGGATATAATTAAGTAATAGGAAGCATGCCGGAGTAGGGCGGGCCCCTAATCCTATGACTGTTGTCCTTTTAAAGAGAATGCCATGTGAAGAGACACACATGCACACAGGAGAAAGCCATGTGTGCCAAGATTGGAGTTATGTTGCCATAAGCTGAGGAACCACCAGAAGCTAGGAGATCTGGAATCGATTCTTTCCTAAAGCCTTCAGAGGGAGCATGGCCCTGTGGACCCTTGATTATGAACTTGTGGCCTCCAGAACTGAGACAATACATTCCTGTTGTTCTAAGCCACTCAATTCGTGGTACTTTGTTAGTGCAGCCATGGGAAACAAATATAGATATTGTCTTGCACAAAGGGTGTATATACATACATATGCATATATGTATAAACATACATATTTTTGTAGTATATATATACACAAATATTTTATTTCCTGAAATTTGTACAAAGGGTGGCAAATTATATGCAATATCTGCCCCTTATTTTCTTCCATTAATGATATATCTTGGACTATGTCCGTATTATTACATAAGGAGCTTCCTTGTTCTTTTCATAGCTCCACTCCATTTCCTTCTTTTGATGCACGATATGTACATTGATTTAACCAGTATTATATTAATGAATATTTTGGTTGTTTCCATCCTTTGTTATCACCAACTTGCTGCAAGGAATAAGCTCATACATATCACATCTCTCATGTGCACAAGCATATCTGGAGGATGATGTCTCAGAAAGGGACTTATTAGGTATTTTGCAAATTTGCTAGATACAAATTGCCGTCCACATGGGATGCATCGATTGACACTCCCATGAGCAATGTACTGGAGTGGAGCTAGGATTTAAGCTTGGGCATCTGGATCAGAATCCACGCTTGTCATCATTCAGCTGCATAATGAAACTGGCCTCCCCTACCAAGGACAGCCTTTCAGGGGGCCAACTGTTGTGAACTCTTGTTTTGTTGGCTGTCTATTGGGCAAAAATTCCATTCGATCACATTGGGTTTAGATACCACCCTCTGGCTCACTAGACCCACTTTCTTCCACAGGCTACATGGATGTTGGCAACAGGAGCAGTGTTCAAGCTTACTGCTTTTTTGTTGCTTTTCTTCTTCTTTCTTAAAATGCCTAAATCAGAAAATACAAGGCCCCATGCAGAGGCCCTGGTGATGTTGCACAGCTGAGCTTTCTAATAGACCTGAGTTTGGCAAGGCCGGGTCAACTCCAACCCTACTCCTAGATTTGGAGTTTCTGTATTTCCAAACCTCGTCACTCCTCCAGCTCCAGCCGTTTGTGACTGCTGGCCTGCAGAGGGAAACAGCACTTACCCCTAAGGCTTTGCCTTCTTTCAAGGCTCTCTGGGCAGGTTGCACAGTCACAGATGGCTCCAAACCAGGTGGGCTCCTGGAAATTACGTGGACTTGGGGCTGGTTGCTTGGATAAAGGGACACCTGAGGCATGCCCCCTGGGATCACAGGATACCCGTTTTGGGGTGTTACCACAAACACAGAATTGGCCGTGGGGCCTGCTGAAGTCATCGAATTCATGCTGCTAAAAATTAAATGCGATAGAGTTATCCTTCATGTATGCACTAATGTCAACATTGAAAAAGGACGTTTGCCTCCATTAGCTCATGTGAGCATCTCAACACCCCTATGAGTTTACTAATCCTGTTTTAGAGATAATGTTAGGTACCAGTTACAGGGCATTTATGAAGTGCCGGGCAGTCAGTGTTTTACAAATACATCTCCTTTAATCCTCACAGCTGCTCGGTTATACAGATGAGAAAACTAAGACCCAAAGAGGTTAGGCACTATGGAGGGTGAGGGCTGTGTGTTTTTCATGTTTGTGTCTCTCATAGTGCTTCACGTGGTATTTTGCAATAGCAATACTATCTGGTTACAAAATTTCAGAGCTGAAAAGTCTCTCGGAGAACGTTGAGTCCAATTCTTTCAACTTCTGGAAAAGGAAACTGAGGCTGGGAGAGTGGATATGAATTCCCCAACGTCCCAGTCATGTAAGTATTAGTTCAATGGAGATCATTCTTCTCAAGGAAGCCCTGTTGCCAGTGTAGTGTATATTAATTGGATGTCTCATGCTGCTCAATTTTCTAGGCTACTTGTGAGTTCTGGTCTGGTTTAAAAACTTTCCTTTCTTTTCTTTTCCTCTGTCTTTTTTGGATCAGACGCCAAAAAAACTGGTACAATAAACCCTACCACGTGCTCCAACCCACACCCAGATTCATTGTAAATCTCATGTGGCAGAAAAACCTTATAACCATCCCTCTATTATCCATAGAAACCATTCGTTTAAGCATACTCACTTTCCTGTGCCAGTGGCTAAGTTCCTCTTGATCCTGTTCCCAACGCTTTGCTGCAGGCAACTCTTGTTTTCCCCTCGAGAGACTGAGTGCACTGAGTTCAGTTGGATATGTTTAGAAAGATCCAAAGTCCTCTCCACTTTTCTCCTAGGTGCAGACCAGTTGCTTAGAGCTCAGCTACCCCACCCATATTTACTTCCTGTTCTGGCCAAGGAGACAATTAAATGCAGTTCAGTTGGGTAAGTGTTTAATGATATCTGTGTGGAGAAGAAAGTGAAAGTGCTGTGCTTGGTGCTCTGGGGGAGACCGGGGAATGAACTGGGCACTCAGGTGTAGTGTGTGTGGCTGTAATGCAAGACAGAACTACATAAATGCCACAGTAGAGAAACAAGAGTCCCCCGCAAGAGAACAGAGGAGAAGCTGATTTACTGGGTTTGAAGAGAATAGGGAAGACTTCAAACAGATGGTGGAGTTTTGAAATCAGTGAATTACATGAGAAAAGGGGAGTCCCAACATGTGAAATGAAAATTGCAATCAACTTAAGTCTATTTTTTAAAATCTTTCTATTATTTTTATTTGTATGTGAGTTTTTAAAAATATAAATTGGGTCATGCTCTATGTTACAAGTCTATTTTTATGTAAGTCAGAGCCTAAAGAAGATCAGAAAACGCCCACAGGTGCGCAGCCAACGTAAGCATGATGTACGTCACGTGACTTGCACAGGCAAAATGTACAAGAACTGCTGTAATAGGCAATGAGTCTCTGGATGGAATGGTCCATGACACATTCACCTTTGTATTCCTACTGGCATATAATAGGCAACCAACAAATGCTCACTGGATGAAGAAGTGAAGCTGATAGGTTGGCTAGAACTTTGTAAAATGTCAAGAGAAAGAACATTATTACAGGCAGAGGGTATGGAGGAGGGCAAAGGCATGGAGGAGAGAAGGTATAGGACACATTTTGGGTATGGCTAATGGTGGTTGAAGCATTTTGTGGGTGAAGGACATTGAAAGCAATAAGGATGAAAAGATAGATGGAGGCAAACCTCGTGTCTTTAACTCGTTTTTCTATCAGATTTCTGGACCTTTGTTTCTCAATTTTTAAGAGTTCTTTACATATTGGGAATATTAGCCTTTTATCTGTGATATCTTTTCTCCAAATTTGACAATTGTCTTTTGACTTTGTTTATGGTGGTTTTTAAAATCATACAAATTGAAAAAAATTTATGTGGTAAAATTTATCAATCTTTTCTTTTATTACTGCTATAGACTGAATGTTTGTGTGTCCCTGGCCCCCACCCCCAATTCACATGTTGAAACCTAATCTCCAATGTGATGGTATTTAGAGATGGGGCCTTTGGGAGGTGATTAGAGTGGACCCCTCATGAGTGGGATTATTACTTCCTGTTCCTGTCATGAGAGGGATTGGTACTTCCTGTTCCTGTCATGAATGGGATTAGTAAGTACTTCCTGTTCCTGTCATGAGTAGGATTACTACCTTTATAACCTCAGAGAGCTCTCTGGCCCCTTCTGCCATGTGAGGACACAAGGAGAAGACATCTGTCTATGAACCAGGAAGTGGGTTCTTACCAGACCCTGAATCTACAGATGCCTTAATCTTGGACTTCTCAGTCTCCAGAACTGTGGGAAACAAACGTTTGTTGTTTAAACCACCTAGTCTATGGTCTTTTTGTTACGGCACCCCAAATGGACTAAGATAATTACTTATGGAGTTTGAGTCATTGTTAGAAAGACTTCCCAAAACTAAGATTAAATAGGAATTCACCTGGAGTTTCTTCTAGTACTTGTATGGTTTGTTTTTTTAACCATTTTGTAGGTAGTCCAAATAGGCTTTATTTTCTCCTCTGACAGTAGGTGTTTGGTGTCAAGGTACATTTTTCCTACCACAATGCTTTCTTTCTCCAAACTGTTAATTTTGTTTTACTGAATAATGCAGTATGTGATTTTACTTTTTACATTTTGATTCCTAATACATTTAGGGTTTATTCTCCTGTATGATATGAGATATGGATCTAATTTTATATTTTTCCAAAAGGCTATTTGGTTGTCCCAGCACCACTTGTGAAACTGTCTCTCTTTACTCCAGCGATTTGAAATGACGTTTTTGTCACACGTTAAATTTCCATATGTGTTTGGGCCTAGTTCTGATCTTTTTCTTCTATTCCACTGGTCTATTTATTTACCTATGTGTTAATTCAACAATGTTTTAATTATGGAGGCTTTTTAGTATGTTTCAATGTCTGATAGGGCTATCCTCTCCTCAGTTTTTCGTTTTCATTATTTTTCTGGCTATTCTTGCATGTTTCTTTTTCCATATGAACTTTAGTGTTAATTGTATACCTCCATAAAACAGCTTGACAAGTTTTTGAAAAGATGAATGACATGAATCAACTTATATTGAGGGAAGTAATAAGAGGCATTTGAATGGAGACATGTAGGTGACTAAGCCCGAGTTCTTTTTGGGACCAGCCTTAAGCAGCTATTGTAGAGGACAGACTTGTCAACGTTTTTATTGATTTCTCAGAAATGACATCAACTTCCTAGAAGGAAGAGACATACAGGAGAGAAGATTGTTGTCCAAATCTACTGTAGAAATGCTGTTGATTGGCCCATCCATAATGCCTTGTCCCGCTCTGGAAGTCATCTTTAGTTTCTGTGCCTACAGATAATTCTTGCCTCTCTCTTCCTAAGGATGGTTGGGTGTGGGCAGACCAAAAGTGCTGGGAAGTTAATACTCCAGGAATTTTTCTTAACAAATGAAAGGTGGGTATTCCTGGATAATTATTCTAGCTCTTTACTGCTCACACCCCAAGGGATAATCCTGAAGTGTGTTCCATCTGTCTCTTAGAAAGTCCTCATAAAGATTGAGCCCTCTGGGTATCTATCCTAAGAACCTGAAATCAGCAATTCTAAAAGTCCCATGCACCCCTATGTTCATTGCAGCATTATTCACAATAGCCAAGTCACGGAACCAACCTAAGTGCCCAGCAACTGATGATTGGATAAAGAAGATATGCTATATATATATATATATATATATATACACACACACACACACACACAATGGAATACTACTCAGCCATAAAAAAGGACAAAGTGGTCCCATTCACAACAACATGGATAGACCTTGAGGGTATTATGTTGAGTGAAACAAGCCAGACAGAGAAAGACGAACTCTGTATGACTCCACTCATAGGTGGTAGTTAACATATGGACAAAGAGAACTGATTGGTAGTTACCAGGGGAAAGGGGAGTGGAGGGAGGGCACTATGGGTGAAGTGGTATACCTACAACATGACTAATAGTGATGTACAACTGTAATTTCACAAGGTTGTTAACTATCATAACCTTAAAAAAAAAAAAAGATTGAGCCCTCATTCTCTGGAACAGAATGCCCATTCATTAATGCATACTTTATTGGCTTTCCTCCCTTCCTGTATCACTTTTCCATTTTCTCACAATCTCTAAATCGTTATGTCAGCATCTGCTTTTGGGGGAACCCAAAATACGACACCCACTGACTTAGTTTCTGAAATAACTGCCAAGTGTAAGAGCATGTGAGACTCTAAAGATTGAGATAGGTTATGGAGGCTGTTGGTGTAGTTTAACCTTCCCCACCCCGCAAGTGATGCCCATGTCCCTTCTATGGCATTTCTGCCAGTGCTAAACACTTTTAGGAGTGGAGAACTCATTGCTACTCTAAGTTCTCTTTTTAGGGAAAGGTAGTGAATGGATTATCTTCCCCTTATCTATTGACCTAAAGAGAACAGAGTATCCCTAAAAGATTCAGTCTCTTTACACCCATTCTGGGCATGCTGATGGCTTAGGCATACTTTTCTGCATTATGGTATCACTTGGGGTCCCAGAAGAAAACAGAAGGCAGTCTTAAAGTGCTTAATTGAAGGAAGATTAATGAAGGAATTATTTAGAGAAATGTGAGCAGCGTCATGGGAACCAAAAGGGATGTTGACACAGTTGGTAACCAATAACAGATGGAAGCTGTTATTTCCCCTCAGCCTTAAGGGGCAAGGGGCAGGAACCATGTTCCTGTATCAGCAAGAGCTGTAGCTAAGGACATGAGCTGTGTAATATGAGCTGAGGCCTTAGATAGAGGAATTCAGCTACTGTTGAAATTGTGACCAGAAAAGGGGAGCGTGAGCAGGGCAGAGAAGGGCTGTGCTGGCTCTTTCACCTGGCTCTCCAGATCTCCTCTCCATCCTTCTCCATTCTACTGCGTCCCTGGGGACTAATCTTTATATGGATTTCATCCACAGTGACCCTTGCTGGCTGGCTTCCAATTGGTTTCAAACAACACGAGACCCTACTAGGAGACTGGAGGAGCGAAAGGGCAAATTATTTATTCTTTCACTTTCCTCCCTGGGGTGTTGCCAAGGGCTGGCAAGCTCCTTGACCAAAGGTCACAATGCCTATCAAAGTGGCCTTTTGTCTCCCTCTTTGTTCTCCCCCACCTTGCCCCAGATGGAGGAAAACATGATACCTATGACTCTATTTTCTATTTAAAGGATGAACTTGGAGTCTTACTCATGGAAATTAACGCAGGACTCCCAATAAATACATTACCACCGGTCTTCCCCTGGAGAAGGCCTGGCTCTTGTAAAGCTCAGGGTAAGTGTATGAATATCATTTTTTTTCCCATTTGAAACATTTGGATCCATTTGTATCCATGTGGATCCATCCACATTTCCATCCATTTGATACATTTTTTTCTACTTTCTCTTTGGATAGAAAGGAGTTTATGTAATCTCCAATTCATCCCATAATTAAAAATTGTTTCTCACTGTTACAGCAAATTCTTTTCCCTCTTATAAAAGTTCTCGTGAATTGAGAGTGGAGAGTGGGGAATCCATGAGGATGCTAGAATGCCAGTAGAGACTTTGGTCTTTTTGATTCAAGCCATCATATCTACAGGACCTACATATTTTCCAAGAAAAGAACATTGAAGAGAACCAAGGTATACAGAGGTAAGTCAGTTAAGTTTATAGATTTCTAGAATTTTCACATTTAAAGGCCTAGATTCTCCTGTCCCCAAATAAATACAAGGATTTCTAATGCTGAAGCAATGCAGTTGCAGAAGATGCCTGTTCTTCAAGATTAAGATAGGTTTATGAAGGATGAAGAAGGAAACCTTTCCTTTAGAAGGTTTCGCTTGAACTGGATTCATAGTCCATCCTTGGAGGGCATGAAAGAATAAAGGCTGCAAAGCCTCTCAAAACAGTGAGCAGAGCTCCATGTTGATTGGTTTCAAGAAACTATTTAGCCCTTATATGCAAATATAAGGTAAAGGCTTTCAAAAACTCCTAAGAAGAAAAATAATAAGAAATTATATACAAAAATCTTTCCATGCTGGGAAAAAACTAAAATATAGGCCCTGTAGTCACTGTTTACAAAGAGAGCCAAATAGTGAATTACACTCTGTAATTTGTACAAATATATTAAATAGGTTAAAAACGTAGTTGTCAGATGACTGAATCTTACAATGATTTTCTACTTGAAAAAGGAACTTCCCAAGTGAAAAATTAAATAACTAAATGAATAATAAAAGTAAAGATTACACTTGGAAATCGTACAATGAAATAATGTGTAAATACCATACGGAATAAAAAGTTTAAACAAGATTCAGTTTTTAAAAGCTTAAGAACTTTCTTTGCCAAACTTTATTTTTTTATGAGAATAAGAGACAGTCGAACACTGTCATGGCCTCCAGTTCTCTGCCTTCTTATAAGATAAAGAACAAAAGTTTGCAAATTGACAACAGGCTAACAATTTTTAGTCATAAAAATGAGAATAAAAAAAAGAAGACAAACACATACAAGTGACTGCAGCATACTCTTTTTTTTTAATTGAATGCAGTTTTATGACATGAAATTAAATCTCAATATTTGCTTATTATACAGCTAATTCAATTTTTCATATTCTTGAAAACAACAGTGGGCTTCCTCTTGCCCTGTTAATTCCCAAAGATGTTCTTCCTTTAGAATGCTTTCCTTCCTGTAGGTCAATTCCTTCTTTGCACATATACACAAGAAACTTCAACTAAGTGTTCAGTGGTCTCTGGGGAATCCAGATGCTTCTGTGGCTCTTAACAGCTCTGTCTATATTTATCGAATTCTTCATAAGCTGACATTTCTGGGATGATTCCCTCATAGCCAGGAAACGCTGTGTTTACATTATGGAGGGGAAAATCACTGCATAAGCCATGTGATGAACAACTCTTCTTTGAAAGTCAAGGACTGCTCACCAGCACTGTGTATTAGGAATACTGGTCAGAAAATGAGTTTAGATAAGGCCACAGAAGATCAAGCACTGTACATAAAACTTAAAAAAAAATCCTAAAAAGGTCAAAAGGATAGCATGAAATTAGAAAGTGGACTCCTGTATCCATTGTGTTAGCCTATATTAGATTTTGAGTGAAATATTTGGGAGAAAATCTAGAAATTATTTGGTCTAGCCCTCTTGCTTTCCATATGAAGTAACCGATACCCAGAGAAGGCAGTGACTTGCTTGCCACCTCCAGCTAGTTCGTGGCAGAACCAGGACGGTCCTGCTATCTTCTAGCCCAGGGTAATGCTTTCACTGTAATAAAAAAGGGCAAACAAAGAAAAATATTTATAATAAAGTATCTATTTCATTGTGTAAAATTTCAGGCCTCAGTGTATTAGAAGCTATAATAATTAGATGCCTGTACATTTTTATAATAAGAAGTTGGATTCAAAGAAAGCAAGAAAATCAGAGGCCGTCTGTACAAGAAATGCAAAAAAAAAAAAAAAAACCCAAAGAAAGAACGTAGGCATAAGTGAGTATCACTGCTGTAAGAATAAAGAACAGAATAAAGTAATAAAAAAACAGACTTATTGGTATAAGATAGGAGAAAGAAGGATAAAATGTTAATCTATGTAGGCAGACCAGGGCAAAGCCAATTACAGAATTTTGAAACACAGAAATTGAAGACTATTTTTATAATTAACCAGGGCAAATACAGTGCTAAGTCCCTGTGTTAATGACATGGGATGGGGAAGTGAAAAATATTCCAGAAAATGTATGTGCTATGAGAGATCCCACCATAGGTCGAGACACACGTTCATATGATGGTCTTAACGTGATCTTGGGTGCTATGATCTTCAAAAGGCAATGGGGTATCAAGGAGGGATTGGAAGAAGAAATGGTTATAAAAGAGGCTTTGCAGAAGTTGTATGGTGGACCCTTGGAGATAGCATCAGAGTAAAACTGAAAAACAGTAGGGAAAACCCCAAATATATAACTTCAATACTAATGACACAATAGAGATATTTTATCTTGTGTTATGAAATATTAAAATATGCATATAGGATGAGGTATTACTCAGAGTTCTCTGGAGAAACACAATATGTCTGTATATTTCAGGCATATGTATAAAGAGATTGATTATGAAGTATTAGCTCACATGATTGTGGAGGCTAATAAGCTCTAGACCTGCTGTCTGCCAGCTGAAGACCCAGGAAAGCTGGTGGGATAGTTGTCTGAAGAACTGAGAACCAGCGCGCCGAGGGCAGAGGTACGATGTCCCAGCTCCACCAGTCAGGCAGAGAGCAAACTCAACCTTCCTCTGCCTTTGTGTTTTATTCAAGCCTCAGTGGACTGGATGATGCCCACTCACACTGGGGACAGCCATCGGCTTTACTCAGTTCACCAATTCAAGTGCCAATCTCTTCTGGAAACACCCTCTCAAACACACCCAGCAATAATGTTTCACCAGACATCTGGGCATCCTGTGGTCCACTCATGTTGACACATAAAATTAACCATCACAGATGGCAATAATATGAACCATTTTTAACACAATTTTTGTTACTGTTTTTTAAAATGACATGAAATGAGCTCTGTGTATTTCATGTGTTTATTCCAATTTAATAATAATTGATTTTATGTTAAAGGTGTCTTAAATTTCTTCTTTTACATGTTTGCATGAGATAGTTACAAATGTAGACTGATATGTTTGTGTTGTGCTGGTGATTTAAATGCCACAGAAGCATTGTCTTTTTTCCTATTATTTTGCATGGTGAATCATTCTTGGTGAAATCCCAAGTAAAACAAAGTCTATGGCAGCTACATTCCTGGAAACACGGATATGGAATAAAGACCGAATATTATTCATTAAGTTCTGGAATGAGACAACTATAAATAGGTTTATCTTCTTGATGAACGTCTGGTGGGACATTCAAAACTCATGAGAGACAATTCATTATTTAGGACTGCCCCGAACATTGCAGAAAGTCTAGCATCCCTGGCTCTATTCTCTGAATGTTTTCAGTGACCCGTCACCTCCTCTACTCACAGTGACAACCGATAACATGCTCATAAATTCCTGACTGTGGGATGCTGAGGTGCGAGCATAGCCTCCCTTCATAAACCTAACACCCTCGAGGGAATGGGGGGAGTATGGTGCTCATTATAATGAAAAGCCACTTTCATTCATTTTCTAGAGCTGCTGTAACAAAGCACCACACACTGGTGGTGTGACTTAGAACTGGGTGACTGGGTGTGACTGGGTGACTTAGAACGACAGAAATTTATTTTTTTACTGTTCTGGAGGCCAGAAGTCCAAAGTCAAGGCGTTGACAGGGTCAGGTTCCCTCTGAAACCTGTAGAAGAGGGTTCTCATCCCACGGTGAGAGTGTGGCATTTGAATCGTTCTACTCTCTGAAGGTGAGGGAGAGGACAAGCTGCTGTGAAGTTTGTGAGTGTCTACAGATAGAACCCCATTGCCCACCGATAGTCTTTGAGACCTAGGCAAGACTGCGCCAGAACAACCAGGATCCCTTTCTGGCCTCTTCCTAACTTCTGGTGATTTTCCAGCAATCTTTGGCATTTCTTAGATAGTAGATGTATCACCCCACTACTCCGTCTTCACATAATGTTCTCCTTATGTGTCTTCACATAGGCTTCCCTGTGTGTACATCTGCTTCTGTGCCTAAATTTCCCCTTTTAATAAGGACACCACCAGTCATATCAGAATAGGGCCCACCCAAAGGATCTCATTTTATCTTTATTACCTCTATAAAAATCCCATTTCCATATAAGGTCACATTCTGAGGTACTGGAGTTTAAGACTCTCATACATCTTTTTTAGGGGACGCAATTTGACCCGTAACAGCACCTCTCAGTAAGCTCTCAATTGGTTTTTTGGACTTAGGATGTTGAGAACACCTGCTTTCAGAGGTGGACTTTGGTCACCAATTCTTGAAAAATAGGAAAAATTCCATCTAGCCTCCTATATCATCATGCTACAGATATAATGATAAGAGCTAAGAAGTGGTAAAGAATAATAATTTATTGGGAGATCGCCATAAGTTAGGAGCTGTTCTAAATCTTCTTAGTGATGTCTTGTCATTTAACCCTTGCATCTACTCTGTGGGCTAGGGACTATTATTTCTGTTTTGCAGATGAGGAAATAAAAACAGAGCGATCAGGAGTCTTGCTATTACTACCCTGACACTATGCCTGCTTCCAAAGTCAGAGTATCTCCTCCTTTCAGATGAAGGAGACCTTTCACTCAGGCCAGTATCCTCCAACTTGAGATGAAGTGGGAATTCAACTTTACTTTCCTATATCCCCCGGACCAGCTATATTTATCCACGTCAACTTGGATTGGCTTTTAAGAAAGGAAGAGTCAACTTGTGATCAAATTGCATCCTTTATTGAAGAAGTAGGAAAAAGGAGTACTAGAAAGGACTTCATTAAAATGCATTCTCCATCAGGCCTCTTGAAAAAAATTATGGAGTTCTTCACTAATTCACGATTCATCTTTTGCTCTTGACTAGAGTCACACCGGTTCTTTGCAAATTATGAAGAGATGGAGAATTCTGATAGTGAGGAACCTGAGGTGAGTTGAGTGATAGCAAATTGATCATTATTATATCCCAAAATAAGAGCCTTGTCTTGAGCTATTGAGTCAAAACAAGACAAAACAATAGCAACAACAAACTGACAATCACATAAACCTAGAACATGAATTTTGAAACCGTACTGAGAAGATAGCTCCTACTCTGTCCTGGGGGAGAATCAAAGGCACATCAGACCTGCAGCCCATTGGAAACCAGAAGTTTCAATGAATTACAACAACCATATTAAACCAGAATATTATTCTTCACAAAATGACTTTAACCTTTGACTGGATTCTGGTGGGTTCCACGTTTCCTCTTGGGTCCTCTACTCTATGTTCTAGGTCAGAAAGAGAAACATCTGGACAACCCATGGCCTGGAGAGCTAGCTGGCTCAAACTACGGGATTTTGGGGAGTCATTGCAGAAGGCATCCTAATGGGAACAGCATCATTTATTTTGCTGAGTAAAACTCTTGTGTTTTTGCTTTTTGTGTTTTGTTTTTAAGTTCCCAGAAGAATATTGTATGATATTAGCACAGACACAGAAAACGGAAAATACATGAGCATTTTGAACAGTTTTATAATCGAGTGAAATACAGATCAGTATTTAAAGCTAAGCTCAATAGTAACTGAGCAGTATAGGAGTTAGAAATAAAGGAGAAGCAGTTTATGAAACTAATTTTAGTTAAACTAAGACCCTAGTTATCTAGCAACATCAAGTGTGAAACTAATATATGAAACCTTAGTAAACTCCCTACATATCTTTCAAATTTATCCTCTTCTCTTTGTTCTCTAGTCCTCCTCTTTTTGATGAGGAAGATTGGCCCTGAGCTAATATTTGTGGCCATCTTCCTCTACTTTATATGTATGACACCTGCTACAGCATGGTTTGATGAGCAGTATGTAGGTCTACACCTGGGATCTGAACCAGTGAACCCCAGGCCACCGAAGTAGAACATGCAAACTTAATCTCTATGCCACCAGGCCAGCCCCAGGTTGTTTGTTTTTTTCTTGTTGAGTTTTAGAAGTTTTTTATATATTCTGGAATATTAATCCCTTATCAGATATATGATTTGCAAATATTTCTCCCATTCTGTGGGTTTTTTTTACTCTGTTGATATTGTCTTGCGATGCACAAAATTTTTAATTTTCATGAAGTCTAATTTATCTATTTTTGCTTCTGTTGTTGCCTTTGGTGTCATATCCAAGAAATCACTGCCAAATCCAATGTCGTGAAAGTTTTGCCCGATGTTTTCTTCTAAGAATTTGATTGTTTCAGGTCTTACATTTAGGTCTTTGATCCATTTTTAGTTAATTTTTGTATATAGTGTAAGGTAAGAGTCCAACTGCATTCTTTTGCATGAGAATATCCAGCTTTACCAGCACCATTTTTTGAAAAGACTGTCCTTTCCCCATTGAATGGTGGCACCCTTGTCAAAAATCACTTGACCATATATGTGAAGGTTTATTTCTGGACTCTCTATTCTATTCCATTGGTCTATATGTCTGTCCTTATGCCAGTGCTACACTGTTTTGATTACTGTATCATTGTAGTAAGTTTTGAAATCAGAAAGTGTGGGTTCTCCAGCTTTGCTCTTAATTTTCAAGATTGTTTTGGCTGTTTGGGATCGCTGAAATTCCATATGAATTTTAGGATGAGTTTTTCTATCTCTGCGCAAAAGTCATTGTGATTTTGGTAGGGATAGCGCTGGATCTGTAGATTGCTTTGGACAGTATTCACATCTTTACAATAGTGTCTTCCAATTATGAACATGGGATATGTTTCCATTTATTTACACCTTTGTTAATTCTTGCAGCAATGTTTTGTAGTTTTCATTGTACAAGTCTTTCACTTATTTGGTTAATTCTTAAGTATTTTATTCTTTTTTGATGCTAGTATACATGGAATTGTTTTTGTAATTTTCTTTTCAGATTTATTCAGGATTTATCTCTGGACTCTTGATCTTAGCACACTGCTTTTTACATCTTTCCTTGTGCCAGTACCACAACGTCTTGACTACTGTAGCTCTGTAGTAACTTTTAAAATTGGAAAGCATGAATCCTCCAACTTTATTTTCCTTTTTTTTAAAAAGGCTATTTGTTTTTGGAGCAGGTTTAGGTTTGCAAAAAAGGGAAGGAACAGAGATTTCTCATATACCCCTTGCCTCTACATATGCATAGCCTCTCTATTATTTGCATCACTCACTAGAATGGTAGATTTGTTACCAAGGATTAACCGACATTGACATATATAATCACCCAAAGTCCATGGTTTACCTTAGGGTTCACTCTTGGTGTTGTACATTCTATGGGTTTGGACGAATGTATAATGACATATATCCAACAATATAATATCATACAGAGTATTTTCATTGCCCTAAAAATTGTCTATGCTCTGCTTATTTATCTCCCTCTCCCCTTGGAAACCACTGACCTTTCTACTCCATAAAAAGTACAAGTCTCCATAGCGTTGCCTTCTTCAGATGTCACACATTTGGAATCATACAGTATGTATCCTGTTCAAATTGGCATCTTTCACTTAGGAACATGCGTTTAAGGTTTCTCCATGTTTTTTCATGGCTTGATAGCTGATTTATTTTTAGCCCTGAATGATATTCCATTGTCTGGATGTAACACAGTTTATTTATCCATTAACCTACTGAAGGGCATCTTAGTTGCTTCCAACTTTTGGCAATTACGAATAAAGCTGCTATAAACATCCATATGCAGGTTTTTCTGTGGACACAAATTTTCAACTCCTTTGGGTAAATACCAAGGAGCACGATTGCTAGATTGTATGACAAGAGTATATTTAGTTTGGTAAGAAACTGTCAAAACTGTCTTCTTCCAAAGTGATTGTACCATTTTGCATTCCCATCAGCAGTACATGAGAGTTTCTGTTGCTCCACATCTTCGTCAGCATTCGGTGTTGTCAGCATCCCAGATTTTGGCCTTTCTAATATGTGTGTAGTGGTTTGTTTCCCTGTTTTTTAAGATTGGTTTGGCTATTTTGTGTCCCTTCCATTTTTACATAAGTATTAGGATAAGCTTGTAAAAAAATCAGCTGAGATTTTGGTAGGGATTGTGTTGAATTGCAGGTTAGTTTGGGGCATTTTACCATCTTAATATTAAGTCTTCTGGTCCATGAACATGGGATGTCTTTCCATTTGTTTAAATCTTCCTTAATTTCTTTCAATAATGGTTTTTAGTTTGTGGTGAAGCCTTGCACTTCTTTTGTTAAGTTTATTTCTGAATATGAGATATTTTATTCTTTTTGATGTTATCATAATTGTGTTCCCGTGTATAGAAATACAACTGATTTTTGTATTTTGATCTTGTATTCTGCCAACTTGTTGGACTCGTTTATTTGTTCTAACAGATTTTTTTTGTGGATGTCTTAGCATTTTACATACATAACATCATATCACTTACAAAAAAGAATTAGTTTTACTGACCTGGATACTTTTTATTGCCTAATTTACCTGGCTAAAACCTTCAGAACAATGTTGAATAGAAAGCAGAAGAGCAAATATTTTTATTTTATTCTAGATCTTAGAGTAAAAGGATTCAGTATCTCTCCATCAAGTATGATGCTAATCGTGGATTTTTCCACAACTAAATGCCCCTCTTTGGCTTGAGTAAATTCACTTGTATTCCTAGTTTGTTGAGTGTTTTTATCATGAAAGTGTATAAGATTTTGTTAAATGCTTTTTCTATGTCTATTGAGATGATCATGTGATTTTGTCTTTAATTTTATTAAAATGGTGTATTACATTGATTGATTTTCATATGTTAAACCAACTCTGAATTCCTAGGGTAAATCCTAACTGTCCTGATGTATAATATTTTTTTATGTTGCTAGATTCCATTTTCTAGAATTTTTTGGAGGTTTACACATCTATATTCATAATGGATATTGATTTATAGTTTTCTTTTGTTGTGATGTCATCGTCTGGTTTTGATATCAGTGTAATATTAGCCTCACAGAATAAGTAGGAAGAGTTCTTTCCTCTTCTATTTTTTTGGAGAATTTGCAAAAGATTAGTGTTAATTCTCTAAATGTTTGGTAGAACTCACAATATAGCCATCTGGGACTGGGCTATTCTTTACAGATTTTTTTTTTTTAATTTTTAATTCAGTCTCAGCTTGTGATGAGCCTATTCAGATTTTTATTATTCTTGAGTCAGTTTCAGTAGTTTATGTGATTCTCGGAATTTGTCCATTTCATGTAAGTTATCTAATTTGTTGGCATTTTACTATTCATAGTATATCCTTTTAATCTTTTTTATTTCTGTAAAGATGTTGGTAATGTCCCCTTTCTCATTCATGATTTTAGTAATTTAAGTCTTTTCTCTTTTTTTCTTGGTCAGTGTAGCTTAAGATTTGTCTTCTTTTTTTCTGGTTCTTTTAAAAGAATCAACTTTTCGTTTAACTGTTTTTCTCTGTTTTTTTTTTTCTATTTTTTATTTCATTTTTTCCCACTCTAGTCTTTATCATTTCTATTCTTCTTCTCACTTTGAGTTTAGTTTTCTCCTCTCGTCTAGTTTCTTAAGATGGGAAGTTAGGCTTTTGATGTGAGACATTTCTTCTTCTTTTTAATATGGTATTTACAGCTATGAGTTTCTCTCTAAGCACTACTCTAGATGCATCCAATAAGTCTTGGTATGTTGTGTGTTTGTTTTCATTTATCTCAAGATGTTTTCTAATTTTCCTTTTGATTTTTCCTTTGACCTTTTGGTAATTTAGGAATGTGTTGTTTTATTTCCATATATTTGTGATATTTTCAAATTTCCTTCTTTTATTGATTTGTCGTTTAATTCCTTTGTGATCAGAAGGCATATTTTGTGTGATTTCCATCCTTTTAAATTTGTTGAGATTTGTTTTATAGCTGTTGTTGGCTGAAGTCTTCTACAGATGTCTGTTAGGTCTAGTTGGTTAATAGTGTTGTTCAATTCTCCTATATGTTTTTTTTTCTTCTGCATAAGTTATTCTATAAATTATTGAACGTGGGGTATTGAAGTTTCAAAATTCGACTTTTTAAATTTTGTGTTTCTCGTATCAAATCTGTCGGTTTCTGCTTCATTTCTGCTGAGAAGTAAGCTGCCAATTTCATTGAAGATTCCTTCTACAAGATGAATTCCTTGTCTCTTGCTGATTTCAAGATTTTCTCTTTGTATTTTTCTTTTGGTATTTTGTTTATTACGTGTCTAAGTTTGGGTGTCTTAATTTATCCTATTTGGAGTTTGTTGAGCTGCTTGGATGTATAGATGAAGGTTTTACAATAAATTTTTGAAGTTTCCATTCAATATATTTTCAAAAACTCTTTGTGTTGCTTTTCCCTTTCTCTCTCCCCTCTCCTCATGTGATTCTCATTATGCACACTTTGGTGTGATTGGTGCTGTTTCAAAGTCATCTGAAGCTCTGTCCTTTTTTCATCATTTGTCTTCATTCTGTTTCACAAACTAGATAATTTCAGTTGACCTATCTTTAAATTTCTGGATTACTTTTTCTGTCAGATCAAATATTCTATTGAGCCCCTTGAGTTAACTTTTCATTTTACTTAGTGTATTTTTCTGCTCCAGAATTTCTTTTTTTCAAATTCTTTTTATTTATTTTAATTTAATTTTATTATTATTATTTTTTAATTGCAGTAACATTGGGTTACAACATTATATAGCTTTCGGATGGACATCGTAATATATTTCGAATTCTGTGTAGATTACATCATGCTCACCACCCAAAAACTAATTATAGTCCATCCCCTCACATGTGAGCCTAATCACCCCTCTTGCCCTACCCTGCTTCCCCCATGGTAACCACCAATCCATTCTCCATTGCTATGTGTTTGTCGCTGTTTTTATTTTCTACTTATGAGTGAGATCATATGGTATTTGACTTTCTCCCTCTGACTTATTTCATTCAGCATAATACCCTCAAGTTCCCTCCATGTTGCCACAAATGGCTGGATTTCATCATTTCTTATGGCTGAGTAGTATTCCATGGTGTATAAATACCACATCTTCTTTATCCATTTGTCCCTTGATGGGCATCTAGGTTGCTTCAAAGTCTTGGTAATTGCGTATAATGCTGCAATGAACATAGGGGTGCATGTATCTTTATGCCTTTGCATTTTCAAGTTCTTTGGATAAATACCCAGCAGTGGGATAGCTGGATCATATGGTAGATCCATTCTTAATTTTCTGAGGATACTCCATACTGCTTTCCATAGTGGCTGCACCAGTTTGCACTCCCACCAGCAGTGTACAAGGGTTCCCATCTCTCTACATCCTCTCCAACATTTGATGTTTCCTGTCTTTTTAATTATAGCCATTCTGACCAGAGTGAGGTGATAACTTATTGTAGTTTTGATTTGAATTTCCTTGATAGCCAATGATGTTGAGCATCTTTTCATATGCCTGTTGGCCATCTGTATATCTTCTTTGGAGGAATCTCTGTTCAGATCTTTTGCCCATTTTTTAATTGGATTGTTGGTTTTTTTGTTGTTGAGCTGTATGAGTTCTTTGTGTAATTTGGATATTAACCCCTTATCTGATATATGTTTTGCAAATATCTTCTCCCAATTGTCAGGTTGTCTTTTCGTTTTGTTGATGGTTTCCTTTGCCGTGCAGAAGCTTTGTAGTTTGATGTAGTCCCATTTGTTCATTGTTTCTTTCGTTTCCCTTGCCCAGTCAGACATGGGACTTGAAAATATGCTGCTAAGACTGATGTTAAAGAGCGCACTGCCTATGTTTTCTTCTAGAAGTTTCATGGTTTCGGGTCTTACATTCAAGTCTTTAATCCATTGAGTTGATTTTGTGCATGGTATAAGGGAATGGTCTACTTTCATTCTTCTGCACGTGGCTGTCCAGTTTTCCCAACACCATTTATTGAAGAGACTCTCCTTTCTCCATCGTATGCTCTTGGCTCCCTCGTTGAATATTAGCTGTCCATAAATGTGTGGGTTCACTTTTGGACTCTCGATTCTGTTCCATTGATCTGTGTGTCTGTTTTTGTGCCAGTACCATGCTGTTTTGATTACTATGGCTTTGTAGTATATTTTGAAATCAGGGAGTGTGATACCTCCAGCTTTGTTCTTTTTTCTCAGGAATCCTTTGGCTATTTGGGGTCTTCTGTTGTTCCATATAAATTTCAGGATTCTTTGTTCTATTTCTGTGAAAAATATTGTTGGAACTTTGATAGGGATTGCATTGAATCTATAGATTGCTTTAGGAAGTGTGGACATTTTAACGATGTTAACTCTTCCAATCCAAGTCTGCTCCAGAATTTTTATTTGATTCTTTTAAATAGTTTCTTTGTCTTTATTGATATTCTCTTTTTTGTGAGATGTTGCTTTCACACTTCCCTTTAGATTTTTTTAGACACGGTTTCTTTAGTTCTGTGAGCATACTTATAATAGCTGATAAAGTTTTTTTTTCAATAAGTACAACACCTAAGCTTCCTCAGATACAATTTCTATTGATTGCTTTATTCCCTGTGTTTAGGCCATACTTTTCTGTTTCTTTGCTTATCTCCTAAGTCCTTTTGTTAAAATCTGCATATTTAAAATAATATAATGTGGCAATGTGGAAAATCAGATTCTCCTAGGAGTTGGTTTTGTTGTTGTTTTTCTTATTCTGTTTAGTGGCTTTCCTGAGCTAATTGTGTAAAGTCTTCATATTTGTCATGTGTGGACATTGATGTCTTTGCTCTGTTAGCTTAGTGGTCATTAAATGATTGGACATAGATTTCCTGAACTATATTGAATGAATAAATTTCCCAGTCTTTCCTGAGAAGCTGTGTGTGTGTGTGTTTGGGGTAAGTCTTCAAAGCTCTAGGAGACAAGTTGCAACTCTGCTTTAGCCATCACTTCCTGCCTGCAGACAGCCTCAGGCCAGCCAGTGGTGGGAAATTAGGGGATTCTCAGGTCTTTTCTTGGCATGTCCACATCCCTGCACGTGCACATGGTCTTCCTTATTTCCAGGTATTGTCATAGTTCCAAAGTCCTCTATGGACATCTTACTCTCCAGTTTTTTCTTTTAAGATTTTTGGTCAGCCTCTTGTTCTCCCCAACTGTTATCCTTGTTTTAGGCAGGTGTGATGTTAAATGCTACTGATTGTTCTGACAAACATCCCAGGGAAAAAGCTGCTCACAGTGATGGAGCTCTGAATGAGGTCAAATTACGAAGAGGCTTGCCAGTGGGGATTTCCAGGGAGCTGCAGGACAAATCAGTAACAATTTTCTGGAAATGGAGCTTTTTCCGAACTCCAATCCCGTTTTTCCCCTTCTTGTGGTTGTTAGGCTGGTGTTTTTCACAGGTACTGTGGTTGCAAAGTTATTGCATTTAAAGGCTGCTTTGCAGATGGGGCAAGTGGGATAAGAATGGGGCAAATTACAATACTGTAAAACTCACTGTTCTTACGAAGATTCAACCACTTTTCTCGAATAAGTGTTCCTTGGATCACTGCAAGTCTTTCACCAATTTCTAGAGTTCTGAAAACGTTGCTTTTGACAACTTTTGCACTGTTCTCATTTATGTTATGGAGGAAGGGATTTTTAGAGGTCCTTATTATTCTATTCCAGAAGTACTCTCTTCAGTATCCTGTGGGGGATCAGAATTTGCCACCTCAAGATGTCTCTTTGGCAGGAGGATTATTTTGGGCTGGTTATTTTTTTAAAAAAACTGCAGACATGGGAAAAGCTCTGGAAACCGAGCAGAATTTACCTTTCATAAGAGATATTTACATTTGTAAGGGAAATCTTCATTTGTAAAGATATCTCCCTCTCTGTACCAGGAAGAGGGGGATGACCTTATCTCTAGTAACTCTGATCAATGTGGAAGGCAAGTACTTAAATCTGCATCATAACCTTATTCTTGTTTACTGTGCTTTTTCTGGTAATCTCCCATAACTGACTCCCCTACCCCCAACATCCTCCTTTGTCCTTAGCTGAAGATAGTGTTTAACATGGTGACATCAGCCATTTAGCCAGTTGCTCAGTTTTCCTGGGTTTCTTCCATGTATACATGTTATAAAGTTTTGTTTGATTTTCTCCTATTATTCTGTCATGTCAATTTAACTTGTAGCCCAGCCAGAAGGACCTAAAGCATAGAGGAATTGCCTTCTTCCTCTACAGTCCTCTAAAATCTTTGTTTTCTGAAGGCATTTGAAGATCTCAAATTTTGGAAACCTACATTTCATAACTAAATTTGAATTTCAGTCTATAGCATTCAGTGTCCCCAAATTACTGGTATGACCTGTGAAATCACTTCAGTCTGTATATTTCCTCTATTAATCTCCTGGGAGATGCAAGTCTAAAAGACAATTCTCCCACATAGTTTTGCCTGACAAGTTAACTTCAGTTTTACACAGTATCAAGCAAGAGATATGTCAGCATATTTTCAGCTGCCCTTGACCTTCCTTTAGAAGCAACATTTCTGTCCCCCAATTCCAGCTAAACTTTAGTCCCTCAGAGAGGGTCTTAACTGAAGCTGTGTTATCCTGAGCTGCCAGCCAGAAACAAAACTACTCACTCTCATCGCCGTATTCTTGATACTGCAATGCTTGCACAATCCAGTGGATAGTTATACTTGCAATGATCAGTTCTGAGACAGCAATGAAGAGTAAATAGTGTAAAAGCATAGTACCAGCCAACTGAATTCAAAACAAAAGAAATATTTCTCACATTAATTAACCATTTAAAAATTATAGGAGAACAACATTTAGAAAACAGAGCATAAATATCATTCATCATATCAGTCTCACACAACTATGATTATTTTTGGCTATTTTGCATAACAACAAAATATATTTTAAATTTATCAAGTACATATATATATATATCTATATATATATATCTCATGCTTTATGTCAAACACTTTAATTCTAGCAACAATCCTACAGATTGGATAATTTTTTTCTATTTTACACATGATGAGACTGAAAAGTAGAGAGAGAATATATAGTACCCTGAGCTGTTGGAACTTTTTCTTTTTTCTCTCTTTATACTCTCTCTTTTGGTGAGTCTGATAGTATAATCTGTGTTTTTTGCTTTTCCATTCAGTGCACATATAATCTGCATGTTTTATTGTCTTTTAACTTATGTATCATGAGCATTATTACACATCTTAGGGGGAACTGTTCTCTCTCTCTTTCTACATTCCTAGCATGACCCAAAGTAGGAGCTTTTGCTCTCTTAGAAATAGGTGAAGAATGGCTTCCGGTGCTTCTCAATGCTCTTGACTTACAATTCCCCATGTGAGAAGCAGAGATTTATGTAATTGGTGATTTCCAGAGAAGGAACCCATATCCTTCAGGGCTCTCTTTTCTCAGAATGGTTTGTATTTATGACCACAAGTTCTTCTCCTCAGCATCTGACAATTGTCTGGCCCCAGCATAGGGGGGCCTGTGGTCTACCTGTGCCTAGGTGCATGAGTCTAATTCATGAAGGGAGCTATCAGCAAACTCATTTGTCCAAAGAGTTAAAACTTGTTCTCCAACTATAATAATCAACAACAAAGCTGATAGTTTTATCTACATCTGCTTGATTCTTGTGTCTTATCTCAGTTGGTTCAGAACATGAGAGGAGGAGAATGGACGGCTATTTATTGGTCTCCTAGACTACTTTCCTTGGGCTTCTGTAATAAAGTATCACAACTGAGTGGCTTAACACAACTGAAACTTATTGTTTCACAGTTCTGGAGGGCAAAAGTCCAAAAGGAATGTATTGGCAAGACAGTGCTCCTTCCAAAGCCTCTAGGGGACGATTCTTCCTGGCCTCTTCCTGCTTCTGGTAGCCCAGGTGCTCCTTGGCTTGTAGAAGCTTACCTCCAATCTCTGCCTCCATGTTTACATGGCCATCTTCCTTCTGTGTCTGTGTCCAAATTTCTCTCTTCTTATAAAAACACTAGTTATATTGAATTAATGGTCCACCCTACTGCAGTATGACCTCATCTTAACTTAATTACATCTGCAAAGACCCCGTTCTCAAATAACGTCATATTCTGAAGTACTGGGGGTTAAGACTTCAACGTATCATTTTGGGGTATACAGTTCAACCCGTATCAGTCTGTCTCTGCCCCCAACCCCCCAAATTCATGTCTTTCCCATGTACAAAATATATTCACCTGATCCCAACACCTCCAAAACTTTTCACCCATTCCAACATGAACTCTAAGTCTAAAATCTGATCTAAATATCATTAAATCAAAAAGCCCCAAATCTCATCATCTAAATGATCTAAATCAGTTATGGATGAGACTCATAATGTGGTCTATCCTGGGGCAAAATTCCTTTCCATGTGTGGACCTATGAAACCAGAAAATGAGTTATCTACTTCTAAGATATAATGGTGGGACAGGCATAAGATAGATACTCCCATTCCGAAAGGAAGAAATAAGAAAGGAAAAAGGGGTCATGAGATCCAAGCAAGTCCAAAACCCAGCAGGGCAAATTTCTTTAGATTTCAAGATCTGAGAATAATTCTCTTTGGCTCAATGGTCTGTCCTCTGAGCCTGCTGAGGAGGTGGCCCTGCTTTTTAGGCTCATGAGGGTGGTGGTCCTACCGTCTCAGCCCACTGGGGCAGAGGCCTCACTCTTTCAGCCACTGTTGTCTCAGTCTGTACTATATCAAAAAGGCAAATACTTGTGATATGAAATCTGTCTTTTTCCTCTTTTATTCTCGTTTTTCTCTCTTGCTTTTATAACTTAGTTATAATTCTATATTAAGATCTATTCTATAATTCTATATAATTCTATACTAATTCTGTACTAAGGCTATTTTTTTAAAGTTTCTATGCTCACTCATTTAATCTACTCATTGATTTAATACTATTTATTTAAGTTTCATCTTTTCCATATTGGCTGGTAAAGTTATCTTCCATAGAATAATGTTTCTGCCTATACTTGGATTCATCACTCAACTCTCTATTCTGTTCTTTGATCAATTTTTCTTTTAATGTATAAATACTATACTATTTTTTATCATAATAGCCTAATAACGTTTTAATATCTGATGCAGCAAGTTGTCTGGCCGTCCCCCATCTCGACTTTTTTGGCAATTTTTACACAATTTTTCTTCCATCCTTATGCATTTTAGAGTAATTTTGTTGTATTCCCTCTCAAAACTTTGTTGAGATTCTAAATGGAATTGCATCACATTTATGTATTAATTTTCAGAATCTTGCAATTTTATGATATTGTGAATTTGCATTCAAGAATATAGTTTCTCAAAGTAGTCAGTTCTTTTTTTTATGCCTCTCATTATGTTTTTATAGTTTTGCTGTTATTGTGATTGAGTCATTATTTTTCCCACTTCGATATCTAAGCAGTTATTTCTAGTGTAAAGAAAATTTGTTAATTTTTTGTAAGCTTTTCTTTTATCCAGTCACTTTACTAAACTGTTTTACTTGTTTCAGTAGTTTTTCAGGTGAGTCTTTGGGGTTTTCTAGGTATCTTATCACTTTATCTTCAAATAATGATAATTTTGATCTTTCTCTGAGGATGCTAGTGTTTCTACATTTTGGAAGAAAATTGATTTTTTAAAATATTCCCATGGCAAAGATTTGGAGGAAATACAGTTTGTTTTTCTTTTTCTATGTCAAAGATGGTTGACAAATTTGGTGGCCTTTTCCATACCTTGGTCACTGCAACATACATCATTCACCCTAGTTTTTTCATTTATATCTAAAATTTTGATCCAGGTATTCTTAAACTTAGCACTTACCTGTGTCCAAGTGTAATCTTCTTCTGACTGAAAACTTGCACACGCAATGATTAAGGCAACTGCACCAAGTACAGCAAAGCAGGCACTTAAGATATTCATAACAATGCCAGAAACACACTGTAATAGATAAACAAAAAAAAACTGGTGACAGGCAGCATAAATAGATTTTGATGAAGCAATCAGTCTGCTATACTGGCTACAACATTCAAGTTGACATTTTTAATCTGATTTTTTAGAATCTTACTGTGGTTGATAGCAAGACTCTGCCTCAAATGTGTCTGGAACCCAATAGGATGAAAATTTTTTTCAGATGCGGTAGTTATCTATTCATTCAACAAATAATGATGCAGTGCCTACAACATGCTAACTTTGTGCTAGGGAGAGGCTTAGGCTTCTAATCAATAATCTTGCAATCTAATAGAGGAAACATGACAAACACTTAAGTTCATTTAATAAAATTGGATAAGTGTCATGATATGGATAAGTTTCAGGTCTAGGATTTGTCAGTGTCCTTCCTATTCCACTAAGGTCACTTTACTGCTTAAAACCTTTCCACAGTTCCTAACTTCCCTCAAGACTGCATCCAAACTCTTTTGAATGCCTCTGAGGGCATTGCATGAGGTGTGAAGGGAGGCTGTGCTCTTTGAGAAGGAGCTGCAGGTATTTTGCATGTATGTGTGATGGATAGCTACATTTTAAAGAGGATTTTTTTATTTTAATAATGAGAAGAAGGATGTGATTTGGTGCTGGTCAACCAAAGGAAAGGACTTAAGTGGACGTATGAATGTTTGGTTGTCCAGCAGGCAGCCCCCTTCCTATTTTAGGGGCTCTCCTCATTGGTTTAGTCTGTATAAAGAAGTTTATCAAACTTCAACTATGAGGTCTTCCCTCTCTTCAATCTCCAAGAGCCAGGGCCAGGACATGGCCAGTGAAACACTCCTGCTAAGGATTGTGGATTTTGAGCAAGCAGCTTAAAGATGAATGAAAGATTGGCATTCATTCCCAGCAGAGGCAGCAGTGATGTTATGCAGCGGGGACAGTGAGAGTCTTGGGTCCTACAGGGAAGCTATCATGTCTAGTGGTAGTAAGAACCCGGCCAGATTCTCCTTCTCCAAGAAGCTATTTTACCTCTGTGCTTTCTGTTTCTGGCTCTCGGAAACTTCCTCAGATCCTATTTGTTTTTTAGGCTTGGTCTTTCACCTCCAGTAGATGCTATAAGCCTGGCATTTTCGCGGTGGATCCTGTGTTTCTTTGATATAGCCAGATTCAGTTCACAGTGGTGGGCAAAATTAAGAAAGTATATTATGGAAGAAAGAAAATTTTAGAAGCACAAGTAAGCAGATCTTCAGGAAAATACCTGGCATTTGGTGTGGCTGGAACGTGGAGCACTGTAGGATAAAATATGGCTAGGGAAGGGGTCAAGAGACAGATTATGAAGAATCTAGTATGCCGTGCTAAGGATTTTCAATTTTATCTTTATGGATATGTAGAGCTATAATGCCAGAGTGTCAGCTAGAAATACTCTTCCTTGGTACAAAGCCAGGTTATGGTATGCTCCAGAAAATGCACGCTTCTAATGCCTCTGCACACCTACCCTATGTCCTTTTATGAGGTCAGAGAGGCTTATGAACCAGGACCACCTACAGAAAGACATTTATGTTCCAAAAGATCCCATAAGTACTTGAATTAAATATACAACATTATTACTTTTGAAGAGTTGCACTTCCAGCATGAGAGTGTGAGGCACTCCATGGATCAATTCTCCAGCCAAACTTGCGAAATTACTAAATAAACCCCCAATCATTTAAAATCTCTAGAAATAATCCTAAGGGTATACAACAAATGCAGAAACATTTAGTCAAGAAAATATACTAAAACTCATAAAAACTCTAGGCATATGTGGTATCTGAACCAAGACCTGCACCCTCTTGCCTGCCGCCCCCCACCAAGGCTTAGCAAGACCACTCGAGGTTGGTGCAGCTAAGAACACAGGGCTGTCTTTTCCCGTGGATCCCCAGTTAAGTGCTATCAAGTGCTCTCCTCTCGAGGGGCAGTTCATCTTCTTAGAATTTGAATCCTGCTCCCCACCACCTGTTGCTGAGGCTAAGTCCCAGTGAGTGCAGCCAAGAGAGAGGGGGCTGTTTTCTTCTGCCCAGCCTCCACTTGTGGGATGGAGACTGTACCTTGGGTGTGGGGCCAGTGAGGTATCAGGCCCTGATCACCCCTACTCTGGCGTATGGGGAAGGGACTCCACATCATGAGAGTTGACTGGGGGGAGATCTGGGGCTGCTGCCTCCGTTCACCAAGCCCTCAGCTGTTAAAGTGGGGGTGTCACTCAGAGAGAAGCACTCCATTGTCCCTGTCCCCTCACATCCCAGCACCAGAGCCTTGGCTCAGAGATTTTGTCCAGGGGAGAAGTAGGCTTTAAAACAGAGAGCTCCAATCTCCCCAAAGGAAATGGCTTCATTTGCAACAGAGTGTGCAGAAGTTTAGACCTAAGGGTACTTTCGAAAACGGTAGAAGTTGAGAAATGCAGTTGGGAGGGATTGATAGACTCATTTCGGACACAGTCTTAACGGTAGGCGAGCTAGTTTGTCAGAGAGATGGGGAAGGAAACAGCTAGAAGGAACCCTCTTGGGGTCAGAACAAATCTCAAATACTGATTTTGGGGACTATTCCTTTAAAGGAGTCCAAATTTGATTGGATTAATCTATGAAGCAATTTATGCCCCAGGTATTGTTGAAAACAATAGCAGAGTCAGCAGGAAATTAGTGGAGCTTAACAGGAGGTTATAGTCACCCCTCCAAAATAAATCTCATCCTAGGGTGTCCATGGGTATCCCCAAAGCTGCAGACCACCCCCCACCCCCAGGGCCCAAGAGCAACATAACACTGAGAGGGAGAAATAGACTTCACTAAAATATTTCAGCCAGTCATAAAAAAACAAAATCAAGCGGGGCAGGCCAGGTGGCACAGCGGTTAAGTTTGCATGTTCCACTTTTCAGCGGCCCAGGGTTCCCTGGTTCGGACCCCGGGTGCGGACATGGCACTGCTTGGCATGCCATGCTGTGGTAGGTGTCCCACACATAAAGTAGAGGAAGATGGGCACGGATGTTAGCTGAGGGCCAGGCTGCCTTAGCAAAAAGAGGAGGACTGGCAGTAATTAGCTCAGGGTTAATCTTCCTCAAAAAAAAAAAAAAATCAAGCAAATAACAATAACAAGCTCTCGGATGGAGCACTAGTACCCAGAATTGCTACAATATATTATCTAAAATGCCTAGTTTCCAACAAAAAAATTTGTGAAACAGGCAAAGAAACAGGAAAGTTTGAACCATACACCAGAAAAAAAGCAGGCAACAGAAACCCTCTGTGAGAGTGACCACGTGTCAGATTTACTAGACAAAAATTTCAAAGTAGTCATTGTAAAGACAGTCAGAGAACTAGAGTAAACCACTATTGAAGAAGTAAAGGAAAGTTTGTTGACAATGTTGACTATGAACAATTACACAGCAAAAAATTAGATAACCTACATGAAATGGACAAACTCCTAGAAACCACACAAACTATCGAAACTGACTCCAGAAGAACCAGAAAATCTGAATAGATCTATAATAAATTAAGAGATTTGAATTAATAATCAAAAACCTTCCCTAAAGCAAAAGCCAGTCCCACGTCATCTCAATGGTGACTTCTACCAAACATTTGAAGAAGAATTCACATCAACTCTTCACAAACTCTTGCAAAAATAGAAAAGGAGTGGCCATGTCCTGACTCATCCTATGAGGCCAGTGTTACCCTGACATCATAACCAGACTGAGGCATCACAACAAAAAATCTACAAACCAATATGTCCTATGAACATGGATGCAAAAGTCTGCAATAACGTGCTAACAAACCTGAGCCAGCAACACAGAAAAAGAATTATACATCATGATCAAATGGGATTTATTCTGTGAATGCAAGGTCAGTTTAATTTCCAAGACTCAATTAATGTAATACACCATATCAGTAAAATATGAAACAAAAAACCACATAATCTTCTCAATAGATGCAGAAAAAGCATTTGACAAAAATCCAAGACCCTTCATGACGCAAACACCCAACAAACTAGGAACAGATGAGATCTTCCTCAACCTGATAAGGGCATCTATGAAAAAGCTACAGTTAATGTAATTATTGGTGAAAGACCAGATGCTTTCCTCCTAAGATCAGGGACAAGACAAGAATGTCTGCTCTCACAATTTCTATTCAACATTGTATTAGAAGTTTGAGCCAGGCCACTTAGGCAATTAAAAGTAACAAAAGGCATCTATTCATGCTTTTGTAATAGAATATCCTAAGGAATACACTAAAAACTCTTAGAACTAATAAATGAGTTCAGCGAGATAAGAGCATACAAGATCAATATACAAAAACCAACTGTATTTCTATATACTTAAAATGAACCAACTGAAAATAACACTGAGAAAATAATTCCATTCACAATAGCATCAAAAATAATAAAATATTTAGGAATCAATTTAAGAAACGAAGTGTAAAACTTGTTCTTTGAAAACTAAAAAACATCCACATTCATGTGGATGTGAATACTTAATATCGTCAAAGGCAATACTCTCCAAATTGACCGACAGTTCAGTGCAATCCCTATCAAAACCTCAGCTGTTTTTTCTTACAGAAATTGACAAGCTGATCCTAAAAGTCACACAGCATTAAAGGAGACTCAAATAGTAAAAAAAAAAAAAATCTTGAAAAAGAAGAGCAAAATTGAAGGACTCATATTTCCTGATTTCAAAACTTATTACAAAGCAACAGTAATCAAGGCTTTGTGATACTGGCATAAGGATAGACATACAGATTGATGGAATAAAATTCGAAGTTCAGAAATAAACTCATGAGGAAGCCAAGACAATTCAGCGGGGGAAAGAGTAGTCTTTTCAACAAATGATGCTGGCACAACTGGATATTAACATGCAAAAAAATGAAATTGGGCCCTTACATCATACCATCAACAAAATGGATCAAAGACTTAAATATAAGAGCTAAAACTATAAAATGCCTATAAGAAGACAGGCCTAAATATTCTTGTCCTCAGTTTTGGCAATAGATTCTTAAATATGACATCAAAAGCAAAAACATCAAAAGAAAAATAGGTAAGTTGGACTCTAACAAAGTTAAAACTTCTATGCTTCAAAGGACACTATCAAGAAAGTGAAAATACAATCCACAGAACGGGAAAATATTTGCAAATCCTTGAAAATCTGTATCTAGAATATCTAAAAACTCTTATAACTGAATAACAAAAAGGCAAATAACCAATTAAAAAACAGGCCAAGGACTTGAATAGACATTTCTCCAAAGAAGAAATACAAATGGCCAATAAACGTATGAAAAGATGCTATGAAAAACCATCACTAGTCATCAAGGATATGCATATCCACACCACAATGAAATGCCAATTCAATTGCACTAGGATGGCTACAGTCAAAGGTCAGATAATAACAAGTGTTGACGAGGATATGGAGAAATAGGAACCCTCACATACTATTGGTGGGAACATAAAATGGTACAGCCATTTTGGAAAAATAGTCTGTCATTTCCTCCAATGGTTAAACAGACTTACCACATGACTCAGCAATTCCGCTCCTAGTTATATACCCCAAAGAACTGAAAACATATGTTCAAATAAAAAATTATACACTAATGTTTACAGCAGCACTATTCATAATAGTCGACTCCACTCCAAAGGTGGGGTCAACCCAAATGTTCAGCACTTGATGAATGGGTAAGCAAAATGTAGTATAGCTGCACAATATTTAGTCATAGAAAGGATGAAGTACTGATACATGCTACAACATGGATGGACCTTGAAAACCTTATGCTAAGTGAAGTCATTCATGAAAAGTTACATATTATATGATTTCTTTTTATGAAATGTCCAGAATAGGCAAATGTGTAGAGACAGAAAATAGATTAGTGGTTTCCTAGGGCTGGGGAGAATGGGGAGTGGTAGTATGAGGGGTGAGGGCTAAGTGGTACAAGGTTGCTTTTTGAGGTATTGAAAATGGTCTAAAATGGACTGTGGTCAGATAGTTGCACATATCTGTGAAAATACTAAAAATCATTGAATTGTACACTTAAACCAGAATCAAAGAAGACAGTAAATATTTACCTAGGCGGCTAAAGACTTTTCCAGGTTAAAATGAAAATAAATAGGTATGTTTTCAGAAAATAAAAGTTGGGGAACTCAAATATCTGCATCCAATTAAGGGGGCCACCTAATGCATATTATTTTTAAAATATAATTTAAAAGATTTTAGTGCAAAAGACATATACCCTACATTCATTTTCTGCTTTAATTGGAAAACTTACACATAAACATAAATAACATTGTACTCTTTAGGACATGATGTTGAACCAAAACCTTTTCAACTAAAAAAATTATTATTTTTTCCTCTTCTTCCTATTCTTCATGTTGGAGTGCCCTAGGGCTCAGGTCTTTTTTCTCCTTTCTTCTTTGCTATTCCCTCTCCTTTGGAGACCTGGACAAATCTGATTGCTTTAAACATAATCTTCAAGTCTGAGATTACCAATTTAACCCTTCTAAAATTTTAATCCCTGATTCCTCTCTTTCTCTTGCATTTTATGCCCATTAGGAAGCCCTGTTGGCAATACCTTCAAATACATCCACAATCCAAGTGCTCATCATCCCCTCTGCTTCATTACCCTGGTGCAAACCATCATTGTCTTTCACTTGGCTGACAATAATAGTCCTGTAACTGGCCTTCCTGCTTCTAACCCTGCCCCCCTTACAGGTGATTGTCAGAGAATTTCAGCCAGAATGATCCTTTTAAAACACACACCTCATCATATCATTCCTCAGACTACTCCAGTCTCTCCCTATTTTCCTTAGGGCAAAAGCTGGTCTAAAGGGCCCTACATGATCTGGTCCCCTTAGCACACTGACCTCATCTCCTACTCTTTCCTGAGCTACTCTGCCATCACCACACTGGCCTCTTTGCCAGAACATGTCACACAGGCTCTCACTTTATGGCTTTTCCAATGGCTTATCCCTTTGCTTGGAATGCTGTTCCCTCTGATATCTGCATGGCTAACTTTCTCCATCAAGATTTGCTCAAATGCCACCTTCTCAGTAAGACTTATTTGGATCATCTTAATCACACAGCCTCTCAGTGGTAGCCTCTTTTACATTTTCTTTTTTTCCGTCACAGCTATCACCTTCTAACACATTATATTATTTCCTTATTGGTCATGTATATTGTCTTTATTCCCCTATTAGAATATAGCTCACTGATGCATCCTACATAGCCCAGCACAAGCCTGATACTCCATAAATACTTCTGAATTAAATTATTGGAATTTAGGTACATTATATTAGATGTATTATGCTACTTAAGTGTATAGAATATTATGCTGCCACTAGAGCAATTTTTCCAAAGCATTTGTTTCATGGCTTGATATAGAATTATAATTGATTTCCTCTTGTGAGTTGAGCCACATTGATTGGGAAATAGAATTACTCTGCATGAGACAAGATGAGGGGTTTATTTTTGATTCTTGAGGTGGAGTGAGGGGAGGGAAAAGGGCGGGCAGAAAATTGAGTGATGTTGGAGGTTGGGGAAGAATTTCAAGGGGAGCCAGGTCATGGCTGGAACCCAGAAATTACAGTCCTAATTTTCCCTCACCATCCCTCAAGTAAAAAACCAAACACTTTTTGTGAAAACCAGTCTAGAGGCCAAGTTTATTCACACCTGTTTTCTTGGACGTGGTGAAGCAAAATTGGGTCAGGATGTGCAAATGGAGAAACAGAACTATGAGAATGTCAGTTCAGGGATTTGCAAAATCACAAGGGTGCTTCATTGGCTTTGGGGTCAACTGTACTTATATCTCTGGGAGAAAAGCAGCATCAGATTAATGTCTGGGTCACATGGACACTCTGTTTGTAAAGACATTGGAGAATCAAGCTTAGAAAAAGGACTGGAATGGAAGATGATGCGAGCAGTGGCTACCTAGCTGGTGGTAGACGTTAAAAAAGAGGTGTGAACACCAGACGCCCATAATTATAGCCAGCAAGCTGCTGCTGAGCAAAATAACCTCTTGTGTCTCTTTGAAGAAAAAAGTAGGCAGACCTTTCACTGAATTAGGAAACATAATTTCTTCAGTTTCTTGGCTCGATCCCTGAAAGCACATTGTTTTCCTCAGTAGGTTTTGAGAAACAGAGCTAACGTCTACTGAGCGTTCACCGTGTGCCAGGGATGGCCTTTACGCGTATCTACTCGTTTATTCCATCCTCTCAACAGTCCTTTGAGGTATTACTAGCCACACTTTTTCAGATGAGGACTGTGAAGCTCTGAGTAAAGTAACTCACACAGACGTTAGTAGGGGAGTCAAAATTTGAATTCAGGCAATTTGCCTGCAGAGCTACGATGCTAATCACAAGGGGAGAAGTTCTAAAGGAGGAAGTGACTATCTTCTGTTGGATTATTTTAGTGATATTTGATTTGTATTCTAGTGATATTATCTAGACCTGGGTTTGCTGAACGCAATTCTCTTTTCAAACATTATTTTGTCTTATCCTCTTCATTAAATAAACACTGACATCCTAAGCTTACCTTAGGATATTCCTCAACACACCTATATCTCCTTCTTTCCTATTGCTTTGAGTCCACGGTCAGAGTTTCCTTTGGTTTTAATTACCCCTTTAGATAGCTTGAAATGATTTATTCCATCAAAACCCTCACACCTGATGCCTTAGAAAACCTGTTCCTCACACTGTAGCCTCCTCAACACCCATACACAAAAAATGCACTGGAGTGCATCCTTAGAAGCATTGAATGATTTTTTTCCATTCAAATATCTGGAAAAGTTTTTTACCCCTCAAAATTTGGCTCTGAAGCAATAATTTCTCCTCCTCAGTTTGTGACCGGTAATCCTTCTATCTTTGGCGCCGCTCCAAACATCCCCACTTACCTGATATTGTGAACCCTTCCTCTGTGCTGCAACGCTGATGGCCCCCGAGGTGATGTACTGAGGGTAGAAACACGCATTTGTAAACACCCATTCCTGTTGATGGTCCCTTAAACACGTAATTTTCCTAATGCCAGTGGCATTCTTGAGATCTGATGGATCTCATTCTCTCGTTCCCTCCATTCTCTGAAGAAAGAGGTTTTTGCTATTTCAGTTCTGTGGTGACTGCCAGTAGGCTCTTTAAGAAATGGGCTCACTCTTTCTCTGTTATAGAGGCAAAAAGATATTTTAACGTCTCTGGTCATTAATGAAACCTTTGTATTGGTGATGGGACTTAGGGATCACATGATGATTTTACGAGGAACCAGCAGTAGGTACGTCACGTGTTTTGAGTGTCATTTATTAAACTCATGACCTAAATTATTAGAAAGTAATCCCTACTGACTAGGGGATGGTTCTCACGTGCAACACTTTTCCCCCAAAATGCTCTAGAAAAACATAGTTCATCAATAGAAAATAGTTGCAGAAGGCGTTTGATGTGAACAGTTGAGGGCTGACTTCCACAACATCATGTCCTAAGGACTATCACCACCTGCTGGCCTCAGTTGAAAGGGTTGTTGTTTCTGGTATATCAAGAATTTAATATTTTTTCCGATGGTAGATCAGCCTGCCTTCAATCAGCCCATAGTGCTAACAAAAGATGACTCATTTGAAGGGAATTGGGAATCTTGCAGCCCGTGAAAATGAGATCCTGCCACGGAAGCAGAAGCAGCTTAGACTGATTTTTTAAAATCTCGGACGCTTTATTGCTGGGTCACTCTGTAAAATTACCGTACATCTTGTGAGTCTTGGTTTCCTCATTTGTAAAATGGGGATGGATAATAGCTATCTTGGGGGGTGGTTGTGGCAATTATATAAAACAGGCGAGCGCTTTCGGGAAGCTGCCTGGTACACAATAAATATAAAACTGAATGATTACTATTTGTGGCTAATTTCTGCCATCAGCTTCTGTTCTGCATCTTGGACTTATGGTCCTTTCTAAATGCCTTCTAATGGGTTATTTATTGGATTCTTTCAGTTTAAAGCATTTCTTTTTATGACATACAGCCCTTTCCAGAAAGTTCTCAGTGTTGGTATAATGCCCTTCACTTGAAGACTTGTGCTATAGGAAAGTTCTCTCATCTAGAGCACTGATGACCAGGCCCTTCCTTGGGTGAAGTTACTGTACTTGCCTATCTCAGAGGCCTTGTCACAAAGCACAGGGACTGGGTTACATTCAAATCCTGTTTTTGGTTGAGGAGTGCCAAAGGGTGGGAAAGGAATTAGTAAAACCCTTTCTCCTCTAAGGAGAAATTTGGCCTGGGGTTAGCTTTCTACCTCTGTTCAGCTGGAAACTTGAAACAATTGGATTATCAGTTGTGTTGCTAGGCCACCTTGCTTACAAATAATTGCAATATTGATAAATTGCTTATGAATAAAAGCAATATTGATAAATTGCTTCTGGATTGGTTGTAACTGTGAGCCAGAAATAACCTGTGGGAAGCCATGGCTTTGGGCTTCCCTGAGTGTAGCAGCTTGTAATTGAGCATGTCCCTGGTGGGGACCTTAACAACCATGTCTATGGAATTATTACAACATCCTTACTCCAAACACCCACTTTAGAAATCTATTTCCTCAAATTCCTCTTGGGTCCTCCACATCTCTTGTTTTCTCTTTCCTTATATAACCCCTCTAAAAATCACTAGAGCCCCAGACATGAAGCTCAGGCCTTTGGATTTTCACTCTGCCAAAGAAAAGCCTTACAGTTATCCAAATAGCCACTCTATTACCCTTCAAGCACCCCCCTTCAATGTCTTTTCTGCATGCACACTCGTCTTCCCAAAGAACTTATCAACACATGCAACAAACATAAAAAGACTTTTCCTAAGTATCCACTCCTGACTCCCACGGCCACCCCTGCCCCCCATTTTGTTAAGGCTGTTTCCAATTAAAATGAGCTCCTTAGAGTCAGAGACTGAGTCTTTAGCCCATTGCTTGATCTCTGAGCAATTCACTTGATACATTAGGAAAAAAAATAAGTTGAAATTAATAATACCACCGTTTACTCACATATGGTGCTGACCAAAATGCGTAAATTATCATAACAAATGTAGGGATGTAACCAACACGTTGTAAGCCCGCCTCTCTGATAAACAAACATTCACAGAGAATCCCCAGTGCACAGTGAAAAAAGCCAAGAAGTATTTGCGCAGCCTGTGAGAAGAGAGAGCCATCATTATCTATCAAGTCAAATCGATCACTGACAATTATAATTTGGGTGACTGAAAGGTCATGGGATGTCCAGCTCACATGACACATAATTCAATGAAAGAATTATGTGTCAGGCAGGAATCAAGGTGGATTAACAAAAGGGTGGCCACAATTTGGTGGGTGGGGGGGGTCTCCACATTTATTTTAATAGTGAGTATTTGCTTTTGTTTCACCACAATCTTCAGAGATCATTAATATTTAAATTTCTAGTTGGTTCCAGTTAAGTAAAAAGCAGAGGCCTATTTGTCTGTATGGTTCAGGAGGACACACAAAGAGAAGGAGATCTGTTGTCTCTGGGATTTCTCAAGCTCTGCCTTAACGCCCCTTTCCTTCCTGTGGTTGGTTCTACGAGGCCAACTCCAGCTGGCAGATTCAATTCTTGTTCTCTACCACCACCCAGACTAGGTGCTTTTTGACCTTGCCTTCCTTCTCTCATCCTCTCTTGTCTGGGACTTGGAGTTTGGTTTTCCTTTGCTCTGCCCACTCCCACACCCTGTGCTGACTCTTGTAACCACAGTCTGGAGCAGAGCCCCAGGCTTTGCTCAAAAAAGCATAAAGGAAGGCTTTCTAATGACCCCTGGTTTTCCCTAACTCTCATGTGAAGTGTTCTCAGGGTCCATGCGTGGAGCTGGGTCTTATTCTCCAGCTGGAGTAGAGCCACATACACACACCAGTAACAAGAGTGCCTGCAATCACTGAAGCAGGTGGGGAAGGTGAGCCTCTTGTTCTAGTCAGGCCTTCAAGTGATTGGATGAGGGCCATCCACGTTATGGAAGGCAATCTGCCTTACTCAAAATCCACTGATTCAGATGTTACTTTCATCCAAAAACACCCTTACAGAAATATCCAAAATTATGTGACCCTGTGGCCCAGGTAAGTTGACATATAAAATGAGCCATCACAGAAAGTCAAGAAGTGGCTTTTGGGTGATGATACTCCTCGTCCTTGAAGATTACCCTGACCTTCAGGCAACACAAAAGCATGCATTTATTGGTGATTTCTGCCTCAATGTGGTACATGGGGGATGGCAATTTGGGATGGGATCCATTGGACTTGCCCACTACTTCCACACTCTTCAGTTTCAGCTCCTTTCTCAGCCATGAATCTACTGACTTACTCTGAGTTCAGTAAAGGACCCAAAAGGAGTTAGTAGGAAGAATTAATAGAAGATCCTAAACACTTCATCCTCTCTGAGGTGGTGGAGCTTACTGGTAGGTCAGTGGGTGGTCAGTGACAGGCCTGTACCTTCTCACACACATTGCCATCACCACTCTCCAGCCTAGATAAGGAGATAAGGAGAAAGTAATCCAGACCTAAAACATCATGGTAATGGGGGATGGGGCAGGGAAAATGCTAGCCTCCTACCCTTGCTATATACGAGGCTTTGCTGCATTAAGGTGTGCCCTGCATTCTGGCAGTAGGCCAGGTAGCCACCAACCAGCTAGAGATAATCATAGGCTTGATATGTTGGGAATTTTCCTAGTATAAGCTTTAATTTTGCTGGCTTAGATCAAAATATGCTTTGACCTCCCACAAATATTGGTAGCTAATACAAAAGGGTATAGCATTGTAAGGTTGAGGAGAGGTGAGAGAAAGAACACTGATGCAGAATACGACCTCTGAGCTGAATCTAGGGGGAGCATGCTGAGAGTACAAATTTACCAAATGGTCACTGACCACAGAGCTTCAGTGTCTACAGTCTCTTCTAATTTTAAGCTCATTGCCTAACCGCCTCATTTTTGATCTATAAGCTTGTTTATATACAAAGGCAGAAGGTCCATTGCTTATAAAATTCATAGGCAATCTCAGAATGTATATGCTAGAACCATGGGTACATTGTGATGATGTTGAACTATTCAGAAATGGTTTGCGGATCCATAATTTGTGTCCAATTAGCTCTCGACTGATTAGAATCAGCTCGGAACACTTCCATCAGTTTTCCTTCCTTTGGGGTATTCATTGTATATGTGTTAACGTCTCTTCCCCGTTATATTAGGAAGATGCAGCACTCATCATTTATTAACCCAATTAGCACTTAGTCCTTACCCCTAATGCTCTGGTCTCCACTCTTAAGGCATATCTTCTTTGCATTTTAATTAAGATATGGTATATAAATTATAGATAATGAATGGTACTTCTTTTCTGTAGAGAAATATAGAGAAAAAGTAATACTAATTATTTTTGAGATCAGACTTAAGATTGCAGCCTCTGGTTTTCCACTACTTTCCTTGAAAGAAGCTTTTGGCTCAATCTGCTGATATTTCTCTCTGCTACCTAGCTAACAACTTCCTGTCAAAAACCAAGAGCTTCTTCTCAGATTTTACGCTTTCATAATGGCCTTTAACTGAGACTGAGTAGATACACTTTTGACATAGGTGCCCCACTCCCACCATTTTCACCTATTCTAGGAATTACCTGCTCCCCTAAATCCCCAGGGTCACCCAAGTTTGGGTTCCTGCTTGCCACGTTTGGTCTTCACAAGAACGTCTCTCAATCTGGCCATAGTTGATTGGACAAGGTGTGGACATCTGACTCTAACTGAGCCAATCACAGTTCCCTTCCCAGAAAATTGAATTCAGAAGCAAGAACATACACTTCCAATCTGGGATTGTTTCTTGAACAAAGAAATAGTAGCATTGCCATGTTCCACCTTACAGAAAGAAGAGTGGAGGAACACCAGAGTCAAGAGGTGGAGGGAGAGCACACCCTAAAAGTTCTGACGGTTCTCACTTTCCTGATTGTAGCTTTTTATGCCTGTCTATGAGACACACTTGCATCTTTAAAGTAAATTCCTCTTTATTTTGTTAAAACGAATGTAAGAGGATGTACATCAAGTGAGAATTTTCATAGTGTTCCAGAATAATGGCTGAGTCTCAAAGCTTTGGGCAGAAGGGAATATTTCGCATCTTAAGTTCATAAAATTGCCAGAGGTTGTGGCTAGTAGCCTTCTCCAAGGGCTTATTGGTAGGCGATGGTTCAGAGAAGTGGGAAGTGGCTGTGGGCAATTGAATTATTGTCCCCAACCATTCTTTCTCCTTTCCCTATTAAAGAGTTATATACCTGCATGTGTTGCCTTGGGACTTGCAGTGTCTCCTGTTCCACTCCATGGAGAAGTATACCTCTCTACCTCGCTGATACTGGATTTGAGCTTGTCTGATACAATGTGAGGGACATGACACATGCCATGTCTGAGCCACAACCTTGTGAGGTATTGTAAGTTTCTATCAGCTTTCTCGCTCATTTTCCTCTGTTGTGAAAATATCACTTCCCAAGACTTTGCTGTAATCCTAGTGTGGATCCTGGAATGAAGATATGTGGAGCAGGTCCACAGCCTATCTGCAGCATTGAACAAAGTGCCAGTAAATGAAAAATAAATGTTGGTTCTTGTAAGCCTAACATTTTGTGGTTATTACATCAGCAAAACTGTCTAATATCCTGGCATCAGCCAACACCTCTGGGCAATGTAGGAGAAGGACAGGATGAGAGAAGATAGAATTTTGAGAAATAAAGTATTGGTGAATTTATGGGAAGTAGAAGCAGACCAGTCAGAGCACAGGGGGTCCTTTAAGAATGTGAGACTAGCTTTCACTTCCCTGTTGGTGTCTGTTTGCCGGAAGATATGGTGGCTTGCTCTTGTGTTGGCTCAGTGAAAGTAGAGAGAATTGGAGAGAAATTATATGGAGGGAGTGACCTCCATAAAGAGAGAAGGCCAGGACTAAGACATCCTTCTAAGTTGTAGTTGCAGTCATAAACTTTTGGGAGAAATATCCCTCTGGTGGTTCTGGGATGACAGACGAGACTAGGGTCCACAGTTTTGCAGAGAATACTGGTAGTATGAGGGGAGGGTCCAAAGACAGCCAAAGAGGGGCTCGCTTATGAGGAATATAGCTGGATTCCATCAATACAGATGTGATCAATAGAGTAGAGAGTTTCAGTAGTCAGTAGAGTCCCAAACCATAAGAATCAATGTGAACTCAGGTCCCTCAAAATAAATATCTTTTCTAGCTTGCTTCCCAAAATTTGCCGCAGCAGAAGAAGCACTTTTGCTCACTATTAAATCTTACGTGCAACTCTACTGCTCAAACTTGGCTCTCTAATTGTCTTTTCTTTCACAAGGAGCTAGGAGGGTAGTTGTAGAAATAATAATGTGTATGTGACATCCTCTTCTTGAAAGAAAGTAAGGATGCTGTTGAGAATGTTACAGAGAGTGCACAAAGGCAAAGAAACCAGGTTAAGTTGTAACAATTTGAATAACCAAAAAAAAAAATCATGATCATTTAAAATGACTTGTCTACAGAAGGCCATGAGTTCATCATGATACACAAAAGAGAAAACTTAAAGTGTTAACAAATGTGATTGTAGCACTTATAAAATGTGAACACGTTAGGATGCATTTCAGTTTTCGTTGGTTTGAAGTGGTAGGGGAGTATAAACATGCATATGTATATTTTGTTTCTTCCTTTAAGTGGATATTCATTTTTAAAGCACAAATCAGTGTATAAATAGATGGGTATTTACACGTATAAACATGAAAGAGGGAACCAAACATCGTGAGTGGGCTCGGTTGTCCACTGGCGGTTATTTCTGGTATAAGGGGCATTTCTGGTATAAAGGGCTGGCCAGCACCTCAGGTGTCACTCATTTCCCAGGCAGACGAGGAGGGCAGCAATTAGCACTGAATGTCATTTACAAACAATCGCTAATTTAAAGATAGGTCCAGCACTGCCTTTCCAGTTGATGAATCAGTCAAATGTCCTGTAGAAGAGAATTAACTGCTCAGACTCAGTCTGCCATCATTTATTCAGTGTAAACCCTAGATGAGGCTACATATTATAATGAAAGTTTAAGAGGGCATTCGCATGTTTCCATTTATTCTAATTAACCAGCTCGATATTACTGTAACAGGGGGAGAAAGGAGTGAGTGGGTAGCGATGGCCAGGCAAAACTGAAAGCCTTCCTCATTCATGTGAGAGGCAAGGAACTAAATGTTCTGTGATGTAACAGACTCAGTTTACAACCAGTGCTCAGATATGAGTGACTTTGGGTTACAGAACCAGGTCCCATGACTCTGCCAACAACTCATAGATCTGACAACCCACAGACTGTAAACTTGCTTGGCCTGAAGAACTTTATCTTTCTTTGGGTCTGGCAAGATTATTTGCAATCCTAGTATGTTTAAAAATAGTATCTGTTAAAGCTGCTGTTACCCTAGGAAATATAAAGAGAAAAGGAAACTAAAATTTACTGAGTGCCTACTCTACCAGGTACTTTTCTAAGTTCTGTACAAGTATTAACTCATATAGACTTCTCAATAACCCTGTGAGATAGGTACTCTGAAAAGGTTAAATTCCTAGAAGCATACAACCTACCAAGACTGTATCATGAGGAAACAGAAAATATGAAGAGGCCAATAAGAGTAAGAAGATTGATTAGTAATCAAAAACCTGTCAACAAAAAAAGTCCAGGACTGGACAGCTTCACTGGTGAATTTTACCCAACACTAAGAAGAATTAATATGAATCTTTTGTAAACTTTTCAAAAAAATTGAGGAGAAGGAGCTACTTCCAAACTCATTCTAAGAGGCCAGCATTACCCTGTTTCCAGAGCCAGACTAGGAAACTGCAAGAAAAGAAAATTACAGGCCAATACCCTCAATGAACACAGATGCAAAAACCTTCAACAAAATATTAGCAAACCAAACTCAACAGCACATTAAAAGAATCATACACCATGATCAAGTGGAATTTATCCCTGAGGTGCAAGGATGGTACAACATATGCAAATCAATAAATGTGATACATTACATTAACAAAATGAAGGATAAACAATAAAATCATCCCAACCGATGCAGAAAAAGCATTTGATAAAATTCAGCATCATTTCAAAATAATAACTCAAGAAATTAGATGTAGAAAAAATGTATCTCAACATAATAAAGACCATATGTGACAAGCACATGGCAAACATCATATTCAATAGTGAAAAGCTGAAAACTGTTCCTTGAGATCAGGAATAAGATATGGGTGCCCCTTCTTCTCAATTCTATTTAACATTGTAATGGAAGTCCTAGTCAGAGCGATTAGGCAAGGGGGAAAAAAAAAAAAAAGGAAATACATCCAAATTAGAAGGAAGAATTGAAATGGACTCTGTTTCCAGATGACATGATCTTATATATTGAAAACCCTAAAGATTTCACCAAAAAAACTGTTAGAAATGATAAACAAATTCACTAAAGTTGCATGATTCAAAACTAACATTTAACTGATTAAAATCAGAGGCACTTCTATAGACACTAAAAATGAACTATCTGAAATAAAAAGAAGAAAACAACCCATTTACAATGTCATCAAAAAGAAAATGCTTAGGAATAAACTTAACCAAGAAGGTGAAAAAGCCGTACACTGAAAATTATAAGACATTGATGAAAGAAATTTTAAAAGACACAAATAAATGGAAAGACTTCCTGTGTTCACGGATCAGAAGAATTAATATTGTTAAAATTTCCATCATACCCAAAGCCATCTATAGATTCAATGCAATTCCTATCAAAATTCCAATGACACTTTTCACAGAAATAGGAAAAACAATCCTAAAATTTGTATGGAACCACAAAAGTCGCCAAGTAGCTGAAACAGTATTAAACAAGAAGACCAAAGCTGAAGGCATCACACTTCCTGATATCAAACTATATTATAATGCTATAGTAATTGAAACATTATGGTATTGGCATAAAAAAAGACACATAGGATCAACGGAACAGAATAGACAGTCTAGAAATAAACCTATGCATCTACGGGCAACTAAATTTTGACAAAGACGCTGGGAATACAATAAGGGAAGGATTATCTCTTCAAGAAATGGTTTTGGGAAAAATGGAAATTCACATGTAAAAGAATGAAATTGGACCTTTATCTTCTACCATATATAAAAATCGTCAAAATGGTTAAATATTTTAAACATAAGAAATCACAAAACTAGAAGAAAACATAGGGGAAATGTTCCTTGACATTGGTCTTGGCAGTGATTTGTTGGATTTGACACCAAAAGCACAAGAAACAACAGAAAAAAACCCCAAGTGGGCCTACATCAAACTCAAAAGTTTCTGTTCAGCAAAGGAAGCAATCAATAAAATGAAAGAACAA